CTGAGTGAGCATTATCTTTAATTAATTGCTGAATTTTCACCTCTGTGGCACCTGCTGGCCAGTCTCTGCATTCCCGGCTCAGCGTGATTATAACTCTACTCATGTCTGACTGTTCAGGTGGCACTTTGACCCACTCTTTTCCTCGCCGAATGTTCTCAAGGATGCAAACCTGTCTGATTGTGTCTTCTGCCTGAGCAATCCATGACCTCCCTCTTATCAGCCGCTGACCCTTAACTGCACCCAGAGCTTTATGCAAAGGGTGGTCTGTGTCTGCAGCTACCCTAAGATATGACTTCGCCTGCAGCACCTTGCGCCTACCTGCAACCGTCGTCAAACAAGTGTGTATCGCATACACACCACTGGGGTGTCTCTAGTGCAACCCAGAATGATCGGCATAGCTGCGTTCTAAATGCGCTCTAGTTTGTCCATCTGACTCTTTGAGACGGTAAGCATTCCCAGGCCATAATCAACCACTGACAGGATCGGGTGCTGACATAGTGTGAAAAGCATTCTCTGCTCTATATCAATTGCAGCCATAGTCTTAAGTGCAATAAGTCCTTTTTGGCATCTCGTCACAACACACTCCACATGGTCCTTAAATGACAGGCTCCTGTCAAATGTAATTTCCAGATACTTCAGTTTGCTCTCTATTTTGACGTTCCTACCATCTATCGTGAGACTTGGGACATTAGCTTTAACGATTCTGTTGTCCAGAGAACACCACAAATCATACGCATTTTCCGGGTGGACGACAGCCCTAATTTCAGTACACTACTCAGTCACTTTGTCTAATGTCGCTTGTAGCTCCCGGGCTGTTTGTTCCCTCTCTTCCCCCTGCCTATATGCAAGTATATCATCCGCAAAAGTCAGTATCCTTCCAGCTCCTGGTGCTTCTGGGCTTGCAATCTTGCTCGTATACATGTTAAAGAGCACAGGCGAGATGGCGGATCCCTGTGGCAGTCCTGGGGCCAAAGTGCATGGTTCTGAGGTCCATGAGCCCAGTCGGAGAGCAACCCGACGTAAATACAGGACAGCTGCAACCCAATTCACCAGCCATAGACTGACCTCCTTCTCCCTCAGTGCAGTCATTAAGATATCCTATCTCACTCTGTTATAAGCATCCTCGAGATCCAGTCCTACCGCTATAGTTTCCTGTCTGTTCTGAAACCCTTAACAGACATCAAAAGCAAAAGAGGCCGCATTTGCCCAAGTGTCCTTTCCTGGCCTGTAGCTTCCCAGACCTCTTGGAAAAAGCTTCCCCCATTCCTAAAAATTCTTGCAGCTTTACAGCAACTATCTTCTCCAAGACCTTCCCAAATGTGTTTTTTAAGGTGATGATTCTAAAGCCACTGAGCTTAGAATGATCTTTAAAAGGTTTTGGTAGTGGGATTAGATAGCTGTGCACCCAGTCCTGCGGTACCGATACTGTCTTAATACTCTGGTTAAAACAGTCGGCCATCTCTGCCAGGTCTACATCGCTCAAAGCCTTCATGTGGCCATACCTGACACCATCAGGCCCTGGTGCAGTGTCTTTTGCTTTTCTCAAAATTTGTTTGATATCTTCCACTGCTATTATGTCTTCATAATGCATATTCTTCAAGGTGCCAGCTAACTCCTTTCTAACTGCATCCCTGATGTCCTTATCATTATGATCTGTCTGAGCTATGAACCTATGGAGTAAAGCTCCCCCTTTCTTTTTGTCTATTAACACACGCACACCATCGTCTCTACAAATTGTTCCGACTGTCACAGGCCGATCTTTGCATCTGCCTTTGCAGTTTCCAGAATTCCCCAAATTTTCATCGCCTCCCATATTATTAACAAAAGTTTCCCACTTTGCTCTTTTGGCGTCTGCAGCACAGCGCTTGAAAACCTCTACCTTATCTTTTTTTCACATTCTCCGCCATCTCCACTTCCTCTCGTGAGCTTGAGGGTGTCTGTCGTACTTTCTTTAGCTGCTTCACTGCGGCTTTCTTCGCCTTCCACGAATGTTCTATTTCTGGAGTCCATCATGTGGGCTGTAGAAAATGAGTTCTGGCAGTTCTGTTGCATGCTCCCTGTCTGAGGCGTCCAAGTAGGTTGTTGGTCCACTTATACCGTAAGGTCTTGCGTGCTCTCCCAACCTTAACCTTACAGCGTTTAGAAATCAAGACTGAACATGGTAGGTGATCACTCCCATGGTCATTCAGGACAGTCCATTTAACATCTAAAACCGACGACTGAGAGACAAATGTCAAGTCAATTGCTGTGTCTGCATCTCCAGTCCTCATTGCCATTCTAGTCGGCCTCCCGTCATTGATGCAGACCATATCTGAATCAACCATGGCCTCTGCAAGGGCAATTCCCTGTCGGTTTTCTCCACTGCTGTCACATTCTCTGTTCCTCGCGTTGAAATCCCCACATATGAGTAATCTATCACCTGGTAACTCCTCCAATTCCTTGAGCCACCTCCATTGTTCACTTCTGACAAAAGTCTACCGTGGCATATACATTCATAAGGTTCCAACTTAAGCCACCAATCTCGACCCGTATCCCTTAAACCTCTCTTCCACTGTGGTTCCACTGGCTCAAGTCAAGCACCACAAACTTCACTCCCTCCTTCAACATCAGACCTTGTCCATGTCTCTCCTGTCTAACAGGGTTTATATAACTAACGTACCCAGAGCAATGATATCTGTCTGTATTTAGCTCCTGGAGCATGATAATATCAAAATCAACCTCTCTAGAACAGGACCTCTCTGCCTAGCACTCCAGTATCCTACTCTTACATGATTAAAGCTCAATTTCTCCGCTTTTCGTCTTGTTCTTCTAGCACTTGCCCTCCTATTTATATGTCTTCTTCTCTCCCCATTTCCTTGTCGTCTCCTCCTCACCCCCTCTTCACTAACTGCTGAATAATGTGTCAAGCGCAGAGCACGTGCACTGTAGCTCCGGCGAAGATTCCTATGTATATGTTTAAAATCCATACGAAAGAATAGAAAATTGCAGGAAATGACCGGTCATCCTAGTATTGCCTGCCTGCTAGGGAAGGGGCAATAGATGTCCCGTAGGAGTCCATACGCCTGGTACCGCCCAGCACGTCCGCCAGACGTCCAACGTTCACGACCAGCTCACCCGTTGCCATCCAGTTCCTCAGCACGTTGGCCCATCTTGAACTTGGGGGTTTAAATTCGGAGTTTGCTGTCTCCTAGATGGACTGCTTTCTAAGGCTAACGGGTTCCATCTACCATAGCAAGTGTAACCAACGAAGCAACAAGTAAAGAAACCTGATATACTCGAGTATGCAGCGGTGGAAAACATTGCCGTCAACCGTCATGTGTTTGAACTGGTAAGAGGTTTGATTTAAGCGATGAAAACTGATTCACTACGCAAAGTTTTTGCCTTGAATTAATCTTGGTTGCTAGCGCCGCCATACCATACACCTAAGACGATCTGATGTTAAAGCAAATGAGCACCAAAATCAGAAGATGGATTGAAGACATTTAGGACATTCTACATCCACACTGAATGATTTTAGCCAGTTATACCCACATAGCAACAGATCGTAAACCTTTCCTCCGCTTGATGACATAAAAGAGAATTGTTGAAGATATTGGTGAGGATGATGATGATGATGATGATTTGTACTTCCGGGGCTCCAAGTCGTGTCGTGATTGTAAACATCAATGGCGTCCGATTTTAGATATATATTTTCCTGCCATTAATTAATTATACATTTTTTTACTTTATCAGGCACTCTGTAAGTTTGTGTTGAAGCTCATTTGTTGGACCTTTGTGTTTACATGTTCATAATTAAGGAGAGATATAACAAGCAATAACTAAGTAAATCATTATTAAGACTATGAACTATGATGACAGTCTTGGTGACGTTGTTATCGGCTTCATTTCATATAAGAAAATGAACAGTTAGTGTAAATGTTTAGGTCTAGTTTACTGACAAACGAAATTAACAGTTTACATAGCATCAAGATTGTTATGTTAAAAAAAAAAGGTTAGCATGCTAGTTCCAGTCTGTCTCTATATGCACTTTGCGTGTCAACGGAATGAAATACATTTTTTTTTTTTTTTTTAAAGTAACAACTAACATAGATACCGAGTTAGTTCAGTTAGTTACAGAGAAAGACGGAGACTCTTGGTATTGTGTGTGTAATGTACTACCATATAGTATAATGCATAATCATAGACTTTTGAGTTACGATCTAGCAAGTGAGTGATAAGCTGGTTCTTGAAGCCAATGCTATCAAATTTATTGCACCGTAACAATAAATACTAAATAGGCGGTCACCTGAAATTGCTAAGGCCTTTGAAAAAAAAAAAAACCTCATTTCCCTTCTTATATTTCATTTTGCTCTTCTGAACTCTACAACTACTGCTACTGTTGCTTCTGCTGCTAATACTACCCTACTGCTTGTCTATTTAACTCTTTCAGGCCCATGAATTTTGACAGACTTGGCCCACATTAATTTCCCTTAAAAAAAATGGCAGAGGGGTAGGTGTGCAAGAAAGGCTATAGAGAATGTAATATACTTCTAATCCCTATAAAAGTATATATTTTTTTAAAGAGAAATGAATGTACATTTTGAATCTGAGAATAAGTGTTTGTTTAATTTTGTTATAGTTAGTAGGAGAGAAGAATTCATCAAATGTAAATTTCACAACGACAACATTTCACAAACAAATTCTTCACTTACCATGGTTTCGCAGCCACAAGGGAAGTGAATATCCAAATATGAGAACAACACTTTAAAGTTTGTTCAATTTCCTAACAAATTCTAAAGTTTTGATAAGTTCCTGAGTCAGTTTAGCACTCAGAGGGTGTAAGTTCTCACAGAGTGCTTAAAAAATATTTCAGCGAAAAAATGGCTGAAAAGTGAACCATTACTACACACAATATTTACTATGTACAAATATATACAGACTATAGCTGCAATGCTTTTAATGTAGCTTAGCCACAGTATGGTACTGTTTGAAACAGTTCTTTGGATGCAAATGTGGTTGACTATCACATCCTTCGCAGATGTAGTTGGTCCTCCTAGGTTTAGCAGGTGTACTACACACTGCACATCGGCGGTCCTGCTTTACATAACCAACCAAATGCATGCCTGGTTGAAGACGCTGGACTGGGGTGCTTGACATGCGACCTCGTCTCGTGGGAACTATGGTTCCTGGTTCTGGCATTGACTCAGCAGCTGCAATGAGTAGCTCATCAATCAGCTTGAGCTTGAAGTCTTTCAGTGGAATTTTTGTTGTTCCTGGCCTCGTTTCCTTATACAGAACATATGCATTGATACAACAAATTTCCATGATCCACTGAAAGAGCTTTTTCCACCACTTCTTCGTTTTACGGGTGTGCAGGCCATAGTACCCGAGACGTTGGTCAGCTATGTCACAACCGTTCATCTTGTTATTGTATGTGTCGATTACACTAGGCTTGAGCTTTCCTTTTGCATTTGTTACTTCTCCAGCTGATGCATTGGTGGAAACAAGCAACACAGGTTTTTTAGCCTTCTTATCTTTCCAGCTGACTGCCAGCATTGACCTTGCAGAATTAGAAAAATACTCTGATGCCATATGCTGCAGTTTATCATTCCACTGCGGAAACCCTACGCGGCCACGCTGAACAGTTCCGGTGTAATACTGCTTCTGTTTCAGAAGATGGTCAACGAGCACTCTTGTTGTGTAGTACCGGTCTGCAAAGATATGATATCCAGTTCCTAGAGGCCTTAGCAATGTGTCGAAGACCTGTATAGAATGGCTGCTTTCATTTTCATTTGTTGGATTGTACGATGTGGTGCTTCCGTAATATGTCAGCAGATTGACAACATAACCGGTTTTACTGTCTACCAAGCCAAAGCTCTTGATGTGATACTTGGAAGGCTTTGTGGCTTTGTATTGCTTATACTGCCATCTTCCTTTGAAACCAACAATCATTTCATCAATAGCAATGTCTTGGTAGGCAGTGAAAGCCAGTTGAAACTTTTCAAGGAGTTTGTTGATGAAGGGCTCAATTTTCAGTTTTCCATCAGCATCAGGCTCTCCCACATGAAGCATTGTTTGGAAAATGCTAAGAAATCTGTTCCGACTGAAGGTCTGTGAGTAAAAACTGGTGCTGAAAACATTTCGTGTGGAGAAATAATCCCTTATGCTCGGCCTCTTGCAGATTCCCATTGCCATCTGCACCGCACTGAATTTATACAATTCATAAATTCCAAGATTATTCCAGCTCGCAAAGACAGAATGTTTGCGAGCAGGATTGTTCTGTGTTTTCTTCAATGTGGCATACGTATTTGTTGCATCCAACAGAGAAGTCCGTACTTCATCATCGAACAGTGCCAGAAAGCAATCAAGAGGAGTTGAGCTTTCAGACACCAATTCAGGGTTCACCCCTGGAGTTGTTTTAGGACTAAAACGAAAAGTATTCAAAGTTCTGGATAAAACTCCATCCTCGACTCTTTCCCATCCTTCACCAGAATTGGTCTTTCTATTTGTTTGGAGCACTTTCCTTTTCTTACATCCTAAATATTGTAACAATGGAACATTCTCTGTATCAGATTCATCAGAACTACTGGATTCCATAACAGCTGATCGCTCAGCTGCCGCTGGTAAAAATTCACCGTCCGAATCACTTTCCGAAAAATCTAAATTTTCATTTTCATTATCAGAATTAAAAACATCTGACTGAAACAATTTCAGAGCTTCGGCCGCAGAAAGGCGCATTCTGCGACCTGAACTTGTGGTTGGAACATTGGTATCCATGGTACTCAAAAACGAACTTAGAAAATGAACTGTAGAAAAAAAATTTCGCTGTCTTTTCTCTCAGATTATTCACGTGTGGTTTAGTTCAGGAAGTCAAACTAAAAGGATTTTGACAGAGTGACTTTCCCTGAATAGTTTATTTGTACCTCCAAACATTAGAAACTAATCAGGGGGCGTGTGCAAAGCAAAATGTAGTGGAAACACGATCGACGATGACACTGTCGTTTGGGCAGAACGGAACTTCTCAAACTACGCTCACACCGTTGTTTGGGCCTTAAAGAGTTAAGCTAAATGCTGATCAGTTAATTAAAACAAAAGTGACTCTCCTCTGAATGATTGCGTGTAGAAATATACTCTAACAGGGCCTCAGTGGTGTGTAAAATTAGAATGTATTTCCAGCACATATGGCAGGCAGACCATCAGCTCTGACACAGATTAGCAATAATGTTCTGCCGATTGATAAACTGGTAGCTGCAGACTTAAATATACATATATATTAATGAAATAGGGTTAGCCCTAACCCTAACACTCAAACAACTGAAGGGTTATGGATGCAACTCAGATAGAAGAAACTATTGAGGCCCTGTAAGGGTTGGTTTTTGCCTAGATCATTCAGACCCATCATTAGGAGAAGAACCAAAATTGCTGTTCTGTGATTTAAGTAGTCATTCAGTGATCTGTAATATGCTAACATGGAGAGAAAAAAGATCAAGAACTGCCATGATGAAAATAATTTATTCTAATAAAGCATCTTAAAGGTCCATCATTCTATTACTCAAGGGCTTGGAACACTACCTATGCATTAAATATGATCTTTTTCTCCCAGGTGAGAATGGAATATTACATATAGTATCCAGAAAACTACTGATAAGAAACAATCACCCAGTCATTTATCACAATAAATAAGTACAAGAAAATAACAAACAAAAAAAAAGCACTGAATTTCTCAAGATCTGTACTAGCTAGCAAATTTTTAAAATGAAGGTAGAGATATTTACATGATTGGACATTTAATCTTTCCTGTACCAAGCAGCACACTTTACATGTTTTAGTTTCTCTGCACATTGTAACATTTCTTAACTCTGTCCCATTCTTCTGTTACTCACACCCATTCTAGTAGTAGAAGGCATACTTTTAGACCTGCGGGACTTCATATCTAAATAATGCTGCTGTAAGATGAGACAGGTCCACTACAAGTGACTGTATATTATCTTCGCCGTTGAGGTAGGCGCAAGAGGTCTCGTTTCCACTTCATTGTACAATGTGATAAAACAACTAGGCTTGCGAGGAAATGAGCGCAAACGAGCACTAATACAACTGGAAAATCTTATCCCTTAAAGTCCATCGTGTCCGAATTGTCGCCAGTGTCCCTCTGCCATCTGCCAACAAAGTCTAACATGTGTCATGTGTCCTATAAACCAACCGTAAGCTTGCCACTTGGTCGTCCAGGTAAGCTGACTGCTCTAATTATACTACCGCAGCAACTATGTAAATACAGTATCTCACAGTACCTTTTGCAAAGTCACCAATTTCGTCTTGTCCCTGTCCGAGAACATCCGGTAATACGTGCAGCAGGAGAAAATCAACCCTGAGCCTCATGAACTCAGGTGGGCCCACTCTCTGAAAATGTTTAGGAGCTCGTGGGCCGAAACATTTGTCGACGAAAGATTACTTCTACTGATGATTGGTAGACTCCTGCAGTACATGCTTCCCTGTGGAGTTTTTTCTTATTATTGTGCCTCTTATCATGGGTTAGTTGGATCAGAATGGGCTGAGAGAGCCCAGTCTCTTTCTCACATCTCTTCTCCATGAATGTATATGTGCTGCAACTCGTGCCTGTGTTTCTTTATCTATGCCAAGAGTTTTTATATCCTTTTACAGACATCCTTATATCGCATTTAGGGTCTTTCAGGTGACCTCTTCCCTGTGGCTAGTTCTCAAAAAGGAGATCTTTGGAATACATCCATCCATCTATTTAATATAATGGTCCAGCCACTGAAGATGCCTCTGCTTGAGCAGAGTGCACCATGATGATGTCTGCTCTTTCAGGCACTTGTTTGTTATATGGTCTTTCCATTCTATCCTGGTTGTTAATTAGCTCACAGTGTCCCTTAGTTGTAATGTTTCCATCCTTTTAGACCTAGAATGTTACTCTAAACTACGCACACTTTATACCGTAAATGTAGTAGAGCAACAGCTGTCTGGTACTGTAAGCGTTAATTCTAAGATAGTGGGGTAAGGGATATCTACTATCAGAGGAGAATTAAATTACTTCATTCTCTCAACTAGCCTATGGGACTTCATTATGTAAGGTGGAATATCTTTTTGGCACTCTTGTTAGGTAACTTTGGTGAAAGCATGGAAGGCGGTGATGGTGGTGGATTGAGTTCAAGAGCAGCAGAAAGTGATCATGGTCATAGGTTTCCAAGTGGTGGACAGAGGATCACACAATGTGACAGTGGCTACAGCTGCCTGACCAGTATTTTTTCTCCCAAGAAAGAGAGCAGTGGCAAACTATCTTCTTCAGAGATGTCAAGACAAAATCATAATTTAGTACCGAAAGGAAAATTCTCACCATGACCACAGAGTTAAAATAGAAAACATCAAACAATAAAGGAAAAGAGACTCAGTGTCCTAGGATAAAAAGGGACAAGAATAATGATATCTGACAAATACAAATTAGTTATTCTGGAAGAGAAAATCACCAAAGATGTATATGGATCTGGAAAGATCAAAATCCAGTAAAAGATACTTGGGCAGTGTCATATAATATTCCTAATAAAATTCAACGGTAGACCATTTGATGTTAACATCAGTCAAGCATAGACCCCATCAGCAAAAAGGCAGTAAAGATAGCAGAGATCCATTCTCATCAGCAGAAATGTAGTACAGATAACAGAGATACATTTTACTGTTCCCTGTGTGAGTTCTAGGGCCCCATTGTGGGAAAAACTAGAATAGACCCACTGCTTCCCTAACAAGCATGACATAAGAGTCGACTAATTGGGGGGGGGGGGGGGGGGGGGGGGGCTTTATTAGAAGTCGGAGTGCATCTGCCCGAGCGGCAAGGATCAACCAACTGCACACAAATAAGCCAGTAAAATGGATGTACATGCAAAACTCAGGCCCTGGCACAAAGCCACAATCCAAATGAAAGAACAGTCAGGACTTTTCACTGGAGCTTACAGGCAGTGAACATAGGAGATAACTGCAAATTCACACCACCCCATCCATAGGTCAGCAAATTATCCCTTGACTGCGGGTGCCCTAATTTATTTGTCTTATAGGTTGAACAGAGTTTCAGGAATTTGCTCCTTTTGGATTCACACATCCTGAAAGTGGCTCTTCAAGTCACTTGGTGTAAATCTTTCAGGCTGCAATCCCAGAAAAGGAGGGGGGGGGGGGGGTGGAGAGTAAAAGAAAAGAATGTTGCAATAGCCACATGTTCACAAAACTAAAAGTAGGTCCTACTTCAGTAATCCAAATAAGCCAGAACTTTAAACTGCAGAACATATAAACAGTACTGTAGATGTGAGGTCTGTTCTGTGGCCAAATGAAAATTCCCAGATGTCAGACACTCCATTTTCACACTACATGTGTGTTCCTAAGTCTCATTGTTAGCAAGAAAATAATAGATCTACTGGTCCTTAATAAGCTTGTTGTAAAAGGTGATAAATGAAAGTTGAAATCAGATGTGTTGGGTCGATATATATATATATATATCTCACAGCCTAACTGTAAACTGCAACACACTGCATCAACTATCATCCTCTTAGAGGGGAATGCAGATGAAGAAACACCACCGAAACCAGCAAGAATGATGAAAGACAATGTGTGTTCATCCAATACAAGAGATGAAGACCAATAACCCCCCCCCCCAACCTTTACCCTGTAAGTAAATGATTATGTGCTGGAAGAAACTAGATGAAAGTGGCTTGCACAATGACTTGGATTTAAGTGAGGAAGAGTTACAGAACGCATTGACCTCACTCTCTTCCCTATGTCCATTTTGTTCCAATGGCAGGGCAGACTGGAGGTGACTAAAAATACCTAAGCACAACTGACAATTAAGGCATCTTCAATGCCCTGCCTGTTAGAAAGATGGGGAGAGCTCCATGCAATGGCGAAGGATAGAACGACTTGGCGTGTGTTGGTTGAGAGCCTATGCTCCATTGGGGGATAGAAAGGCAGAAGAAGAAGAAGAATGCCCTGCCTTGCTTGAAGCTGTCCTCAGAACTTTTTAATTTTGTCCCCAGTTGCATACCCAATTTTTTACCCTTTGAAAATATAGTTTCTTCATTTTTTCTTTTGTTCATTTAACCATAAGACAATGGCGTTCATGCAGCAAACCAAATTGCTTGAATAAACTAATTTCAAGTGAAGACAAATTTAAAACAAAGACTAGTTTTAATTCTCATGGTACCTCTTATTGTAATTTTGAGTTAAAAAAAAAAAAAGACAAAATCAGGTTGTATTATTGCAAGCATTTTTTATTATATTACTAGCTGTACCCGGCCACGCGTTGCTGTGGCATAGTTTGGCTAAATGGAAATGAAAGAAAATAGAAAACGCACGTGTCTAATACAATCATTGTCTGCTCAGATATAGAGATAGTCTTTGATCCCCGCCCACCACCACAACTAAATCCACCTACTACTATCTCCCTCATCAAATGTTTTTGGAAAAGAAAGACAATGGAAATCGCACGTGTCTAATACAGTTAATGTCGCAATCATTCTCTGCACGGATATAGCGATAGTCTGGTTTTCCAACTTTAGAACACGCACCTTATAATTGTGTCTTTAAATTAGTGGTCGTTTAAATGGTGTTATTAGCACAGTAACAAAAATGGTTATTTGGTTATCACATGCTAAAGCTGTTTGTATTTTTATAGGGGACGGAAGTAAAGCTACAACTGTACTTGTGAATAACAAAGTAAGTCGTAAAAAATAGAAAAGCGGAGGTAGCGTTAGTAAAATATAAACAAATTAGGCAATGAGAACTTGAAAATCAAGTGTAAAGCTCTTTAATTTCTCTTAAAATTTAAGTCATTACCCCCTCCCCTCTTCCACCGACTACTGCTCTCTCCCTCTTCGAAGGATTTGAAAATCACTAACTGGCGATATTTTGTTGTTGCTGTAACTGACATTGACATCCCTGTCCATCTGGACTAAAATAGGGAGCAGGAATTGTAAAAGGTAGTGAATAGGGCTAGTGTAATATTTACCACATCATCCTTCAAGTACCAGTACAACTACTAAAATAATGTCACTGCTATCTGTGTTACCATCGGAGTAGACAGAGAGTCGTGAGCCAGAAGATTTGGTTCCGCATGGCTAGTGCTGTCGCCACAGACTGGTCAGGTTAGGATGTATAATTTCACTTGCCGACAGAAGAACGCCATAACCTTACCGGCGGTCTTCACATGAGAGCACTATGGTGTAACAGCCCTGGTGTAACAACTATTACTGCTGCTGCTACTTTAAGTGGGTAAAGCAGTTACTGTGACTTAAAGCTCTCTCAGTTAATAGTTTGCCCCCCCCCCCCCCCCCCCCCCCCCCCCAATTCACCGACAACTCTTTCCCTTATTGAAGTAGTTGGGAGGGAAAAAAACACTTGAAAAGCAAACGAACACAGGAAAAAAAACACCATAATTAGGAAATGAACGCCATTGTAAACAGCACAGCTTAAAATTCCAACACAGATGAAATAACTAAATCTAAATGAAAATAAATGAAAATCTGTAAAATTTCAGCGTAACCTTGCAATCGGAAAGTTTAACAATGCAATCATAAGTATGCGAAATGGTCAAATTTAATTATCAAATGGTTTACCCATTTACTTGTTTTTTTTGGTTTTTTTTAAAATATTAAGGGAACATGGCTAGTGCTGTCACCACGACAGAGCAGATGAGGATATTATTTTAGTCCGGGGTAAAAAAAAATTTAACGACTGCGGATTCGAACCCAGGTCTACCGCACATGAACCCAGTGTTCTAACCATTCGACCAAGCAGCCACTTAATCGGAACAACGAAAAGAGAACTCAACTATTAGACATATGTGTCCCTACCACTGTGTCGCGATTAAAACACAATTCAAAACCGCAGGCAATTGTTTTCTCGTAGACAGATACTCCAGATATATTAATGAAATAGAAATCGCACGTGTCTAACACGGTTAATGTCGCAGTCACTGTCTGCGCCGACGTCGAGATTTAGTCCTTGATTGCCCCCCCCCCCCCATCGACGGTTGTTTGAAAAAAAAACAGAAAATAGAAATCGTGTTTAATATGGTTATTGTGGCAAATATAGAGATAGTCTTGTTTGCTGTACCACGACCTACTCTATGTACTACTATTAGAGAAGGCGTTGGCTGCACGTAACTCGCCGGCGAATGGTAAATACGGCGCATGCGCAATAACTAACGTGGCTATAATTAGAAATCACTAAAGTTATAAATATTAGTTGCGTATATTATCGCATAAAAATTTTGGTCACCTATCTCTAACAGTGACAGGTTGAATTTCAAACCACGACAGTTCAAAATCCGGTATCACAACAAACATATCCTGAAAATTTCAGCTAAATCGGTTCAGTAGTTTCCGAGTCTATAGGGGTGAAACAAACACACAAACATTGATTTTTATATATATAGATAATTTCCTTATCTGCTGATTCAAAGCAAGAAGATTATACTGTAATCAGTTTTCTTATTGTTTTAAATTTTAGAATGAGATGAAAAGTTGAGAAAGAATAAGAGAAGTAAGCAGTCAGTGTAATCCCTATCACAGTTGAGAATGTTGGAGGTGACTGCAAATCTGCCAAGAGGTCCAGTATTTCTGGCCGGGGAAACGCTCTGTTGTGATGTCACATTTACCAACACATCTAAAGAAAACCAGTAAGTTGAGTTTAATGTTAAGGTGACATTAATGTTACTATGCTGTATTCATATAGTAAATAAGCTGAAAAACTAATTTTGTGACATCAGTTTTGTCGGGGAGCTGCGTTGTCTTAATGCTTGGCGCCCGCCTCGAGTGCTGGAGGTTCCGGGTTCAAGCCCCGGTGAAGGCTGGGATTTTTTCACGTGGACTTTAATAATTTTCCCTGGTCTCTGAGTAGTAAGATCAGACACCCGTGTGTATTGTTAGGCACATTAAAAAAAATCCCTTGGCAGTTGGAAATTGAAAAAGAGTAGCCTAATGGCACTGCCTGGGCAAAATGTGGATATAAAAATCTACCCAAAGTATTTAAGGATCTTTGCCGGTGCTACAGAGTTTATGCACTGCCCTGAGATTCTTTGGACTCAGGCTTGAGTGAGAAATAGAACGGAGCACTTATGGGTTACTATCCTTGTGCCATGATGTTGATTTGTCGTCTAAACCTAAATAAGCTGTGGCTTAGGCCTTGTAAACGTTCTTCGTTATTCCGAGGTGCCAGGTTCAATTCCAGCTGTGAGTGATTTGGCAGCAGACTTCCTTGCATTAGTTTCAACAGTGGTATCGAGAGCTGACCATTCAGGAAGCATTGACAAATTACTGAATGTAAAATTGCTTAGAGAAGTTACAAAGATGCAACAAAATGCTAAGGTCGGTTCTGCAACATCCTGTAAAGCAGTGTTCTTCAACCCATGGACTGCTAAAAAGTTCAAGTGGGCCACCTAAAAATGTTTTGCCTAATCATGTAACTGGGTAAGGTAGTTAGGTTTTCCTTTTTTATGATTGCAGTCTGTAGGATTAACACTTCAAGGATGAGAATCAGACAGGTACAAATGATATCCAGCACAGCAAAGTTATCATTTAAACATGTTAGCTGAAAACTTTCTTCTTCTTCATGTTCACCAGCTGTGAACTCTGGCAAAAAGTTCTGGTTCTTCATCCACTTTTAGACTGCAGTCCTGTTCCAGAACCTGAGTGTTGTGTGTGCATCCATTTTACTGATCTGACTCATTTGTATGCAGACTGTTGGTTCCTTGCCTCTCAGGCAGATGCACTTTGGCTTCAAAGGAAGCTCCCAATTAGTCGAATCTTACGACATGCTTTTGGATAGGCAGTGGGTCTATTCTTGTTTTCCCTATAATAGGGCCCCAGAACCCACACGGGGAGCTGAAAACTTTGAAAATGAATAGCCTCGTCCAGCCATGCATTTCCGATTTCTAACCACTGAGCAACAGCAGTTGTCACGTTAGCTGAAAAACTGTAATTTTGTGACATCAGATTTGTCAAATAAACTGCTCTCTACATTAGTTTTTGTTTCTTTGGTTAGCTGTCAGGTATGTGGTGAAACAGTTTTTCCCGATTTGGTGGCCTGCAGGTATGAAAAGGTTGAAAAATACTGCTGTAAAGGACACACCACAAAATTTAAGGATGTTATATATTTTTCCTTCAAAATATATAGAGATATACAAAGAGATAATCAGTAAACAAGAATAGAGTGAGGTATTAAATAGAATACATTCCCTGGGCACCAAACAAAAATATATCAGGGGACTTGTGCCGTGACCCTTTGACATCTGTTGTTGAGGCTTACAAAAACATTTCGCATCAACTTGGTTTTCAGAAAGCCTTTGAGGTAAAAAATGAAGAAGTCAGGAAGAAAACAAAATATTCGGCACTGGGAAGCGTTATCAAATGAAGAAAAGGCAGATGGCTTGTGACACTTTGTCAAGGACAGTCATAGATGTCAGATGGAAAAAAGGAGATGTGGACTACCTAAGGAAACCGGGAGAAGGAAGTAAAAAGGGAAATAAAGGAGTGTAAGGCAAACTGACATGGGATACCATAGGGCAGAAAACAAGCAGACTGGCAGCAGTGGAGATATGTGAATGCCTGATGTGTCAACAGCAACATGAAAAGGATATAAATATAGATACAAAACATTGATCCAAATGCTTGTACATCTCTTTGCTAATAAAATAAAAAATATGGACACTGCTAACTTTCATAAAACTGCAACAACCACTCAGGAAAAGTGTTGATAGGTTTTACATGACTTTCTGTTCCTAGGTCAGGATATGAAATCTTAGCTTGGGCAAGTGTGCAGATAATTTGCCAGTGTACTGTGTGTGAATCTCGTGTTCAACTACCACGAGAAAATATCCTTTCTGCAGAAGAAGCTTCCAGCACAGGCTGCGACACATCATTTGTGCCTAACAAAGGTGATGCTAAACTTGTTTAATGTAATCTTTTTAGATAGTTTTGGAAGCTTGTTTGCAAATGGGAGAAAGGGAATTTGCCTTAGTAAAAACAGGGTTTGTAGCTGTAGTGCTTGTTAGAAATTTTTCCTTAAATACTACTTAAAGAACATCCTAATGTACATTTGTAGATGCATTTCTAATTCTTCTTATACTACTTTGTCTTCTCCTCCTCCTCCTACTTTTGCTTTTTTTCTCCTGTTTCTCTTCCGTCTCTTCAAACAGGCCCTTAACTAACTTATGTTAAGTCCTTTATTGACTTATTTACATTTAGTTGGACTTTGCAACAACAGTTAAATATTTTAATGAGGTAGCCAAAAAAGCCTACAGATCGTGTGCCTCACCAGAAATATGCATGATCACTGAAGACTTATTTATCTTGACCAATACATAGAAGAAGTTTACAGGGAACATACAAACATGGAAATGTTTAACATTGAATAGTATTGAAGTTTCCAAAATAAACATTTATAAAGCCTCCTGTAGACCAGAATTCTTCTTATGGGATTTTGTCTGTTAAATGCTTTCTTTCTTTAATTTTAAGTGACAGTATTTTAAAGGCTGAAATAATATTTTGTTTAAACTTTTTTTGACTGGCTTTATGATATCAGTTTTTAGCATGGTGTAGAACAGACAGGTCATTTTTAGCTCAAGAATTTTGGACAACAAGCAAGTTCATTAGCCATGAACTGTGCAGATAAGGGGTTCACGTTAGTTATGAATGGAATCTGGGTCTCCCTGTTGACAGCCTGTTATTCCAACCACTCTGAAATATTGTTACTGAAATATTTTGAATTTTTTTTTTTTTGCTCATTATACTTGTACTTCTCTAGTTATAGTGCTGCAGTGTCTGCTTTTGTGTGTCTGTCTTCTTACTTTCTGTTTTACTTTAAAGCAGTGAGGGATATTGATGGTAGCAGCTGACATCTTGCCAGTTCCTGTGTGCTGGGATTTAGTTCACTTAGATTGAGTAACAATAAAGAAGCAAGCTTAAAGTTTAACAAATATAACTAATTAAAACTGTAACAGTTGTTATTGTTTAAAAGTGGTTTCTCCTGTGTAAATATGAAACTGTTGTTATTCTGTGTAAATATAAAACATCAATCAGTGTAATAGTGAAATAGTTATTGTACTTTAAATATAAAACATTTTGTTCTTTGTCAGCTTGTAACAGGTATCACTGTGTGTAAATGTAACATGCTTATCACTCTTTGTAAATGTAAAACAGTTATCACTCTGTGTAAATGTAAAACAGTAATCACTCTGTGTAAATATGTAGCAGTTTATTTTGTGCCTAATATCTGTCACTGCAGACAGTCAAGCGGTTGTTTTTATGTGCCTATATGAAACATGGTCACTGTGGTAAGTGGAACAGGTGTTAACTTTGCAGTTCCTGGGGTTGCTAACTGATGTTAAAGGACTTACTAGGGTCTTTGATGTTGAAAAGCTGTTGTGAAAATGTGCTAATTATTCTTTTCTTCTTAGGACCCTTTTCCACGCCTTTAGGTGCATGGGGCATAGACTTATATTTTATAGACCAATCGGCACAAGATGGGTGATGTGGTCAGCATCACGCCATCCGTCTTTATTTCCCGGGACTGCACCCGGTATCCACTCAAGGCTGGGTCAACCTGGGAGCCAAGGTCTCTATAATACTGCAGAGGCTAGGTCCTATAGACTGTTCTTAGTGCTATAGGGGCTTGCTACGTACCTTCAACTATAATTCCTATGGCTTCCTATAGCACAATGCAACACAGTTCCTGGCTAGACAGAAAAATGCAAACAGTGAATAACTGATGTCAAAGGTCTTACTTAAGTCTTTTATGTTGAAAAGCTGTCCTCCTGTACATGTGCTATGTTTCCATTGCCCAGCTACTGCATTGAGTGCTTGGTGTGACACTTTGAGCTGTGGATTTCATGTAAATGTCTTTTTATGATGTGTCCTGCCTCATGTTATTGATTGCACTGAAATCACGAGTCACCAGCTATATTCAGAATAGTGTGTATGTACCTTTGCAGGTGCAATACTGACTTTCATGATTTGCTATGTGCCAGCAGTGAGCTGCAATTCTGGTGTGGGATCATTACTGTTGGCATATCTGACAGCTGCCTGATGCATTTTTACTTTGCATGTGCAGGTTTAACAAATTTACTGGAACTGGCAAGTTTTTCCATTAGTTTTCACATGGGACTGTGAAGTGTATTCTGTATCTTCCGCTGGCACATAAACAGATCAGTTATGGGGCGACCAGCCTGCAGTGATGTTGGAACCTCAACTAGCTAACTGATATGTGCTAATTATGCACTGGAGCCACTGTGGCATAGTGCTTTTATGCCTGGTCTCTCGCCTAGTGGGACTATGGGCCACATTCAATTCCAATCAGATGCAGGATTTTTAATTCTGACCTTTCTGGGTGAAACCTAGACTCATAAAAAGGGTCCAGTAAATGCCATTGTGCTGGAAAATAAACAGGCAAATGGAGTTGCTGGTTCTGCACCACTTGGTAGTAAATTGATGCATGACAAGCTAGGTGTTTTAAAAGGGCCTTATGAAAGTGTAATCAATGAGGAGGCACAAATGGATCATCACTGTCTGAAGAAAATGGTGACCAGGGGATTGGGCCGACACTCAGCACTCAAGGAAGAGATGAGACAGATATACAGTCAGACTGTCGCTGGTACCATCGGAATTGGAACTCTGTGCTTACTGCTGAAAATGGGGACAAAGAGCTTATGGAAATGTCCTGAGTGCTATGAGTCGGTTGTTAATTCACCACTCTTTAAAATAGATACCAGAAACAGAAAGGGATGGAATGGTGTTGAAGAAGGGAACTGTCTATCCCACCATTTATGTTATGATCTCAAATAGGTGAAGGCCTAACACTTCACATCTCAACATCAGCAACCGCTGTGGGACTACGTTTATTATATAAAAGGTTAAAGTGAGAGGATGGACTCCATTGTGCTGGGTTTTATCCCATTTGGCTCAGTCTCTTTCTGCAGAACACTTGGTCACCTGCCAAGAGCATCACACAAAGCATGAACTCTGTAGCTCTGGTGATAATCTTTGTCTTCATTACACAGATGTCATGAAAAGGTGTCAAACCAAATGTAAAATAGAACTGGTCAGAACTGTATTTGTCATAATCACCAATGACAAGTGAACAGTATGGCTAGAAAGCCTTCATCGACACCTAACATGAATCGACAGTGTTACATTTACAAAGGATCTCCCAGTCCTTAAGAAATAAAATAGGTGCTTTTGAGCTGAAACACTATAGAACGATTTTCAGAATACCATGGACAAAGAAGAGAAGAAATACTGACATTTTAAAAGATCTGAACATAAAAAAGGATTGGCTGATAACAGCATCTTGTCTCGGCAGCTGAAATATTTGGGTCATATCAAGCGTCATGGTGGATTAGAAAAAAACAAGTAGCAGAAGGCGTGGTACCAGGAAGGAGGGGCAGGTGCCGACCAACACGAAGATGGGCACAGGATGTAAGTGACTTCTTGACTATGAAAGTACATGAGGCGGGAGAGTTGGCGAGAGACCGAGTTTCTTTCAGACAGACGGTGATGAGAGCGACATTCTGCAAAGGACCTGCTACATGATGATGATGACATTTACCCCCGCCCTCCCTCCAAATACACAAAATCACTTAACTGAGGTCTGTCCGGGAAAAATCCACGTGTCTGTCTCGGTAGTTGAAGCTCTGGGGCCTGTATGAATACTCAAAATAAATACTGACTAGAAAAAGATGTGGAAGGCAAGGACTGTAACTTTAAAATATTACATAAAGCTGTGTTGGATGTTGTCCCGTGGGTTAATTGGACCCCATTAGATAGATACAGCAGTTCTCAAAGGCTTACAAAACTATATCATTGGAGTGGCTAGACTTGATGTTCATAACCTCCATGTTGAAGACGCCTTGGTGAACATAAGAATTGAAATGCACTGGCACAGGTTTGAGGGCACTGTTCTGCACATCAGAAAGATGTTGCCTGAACATATTAGCTAGATAAAGCCATGTTTCTTCTATGTATTTCGTACCACATCTTTGTTTCATAGTCACCAGTAAATACAAGTAATGTAAGTAAAGCAGCCTTTTCCTGCCACTGGTATATTGGGCATATTATGTTGACTTTTTTAATAGACCAGGCTGCACTTAAAGGATTAAATGGTCAAACAGCCTGCCGGCTGCCTTCACTTACCAGGACATAACCTGGTACCCCATGCAGGCTAGGTCCATCTGAGGTCATTTTACAAAAATAAGTCTGGCTTGATGCAGATTCAAACCCAGGACCCTCAGGCTGGCATAGGAGAGTAGACACCAATATTTCATAAAAATGAGTCAGTAACTACTCATGTCCAAGTTAGCCCCTCAATGTAAAGTCATGATATATGTTTCTTTATAGTTGTAGGTTGTATGTTAAAATGTGTTTTAACTTCCGTGATAGTTGATTTCATGAGATTTCTTTCTGCATACTGACATCAAGGAAACATCTCTACTTAGTTGATTTCATGAGATTTCTTTGTGCATATTGACCTCTTGGGAACATTTGTACTTGGTTGATTTCATGAGAGTTCATTGTGCTTATTGACATCCGGTGAACATATTTACCTAGCTCATTTCATGCAAGTTCATTGCATGTATTGACATCTGGGTGACATCTTTACTTGGCTGATTTCATGAGAGTGCATTGTGCAAATTGACATCTGGGTGACATCTTTACTTGGCTGATTTCATGAGAGTTCATTGTGCATATTGACATCTGTGGAACATCTGTATACTTAGTTGATTTCATGAGAGTTTATTGTGCATATTGACATCTGGGGAACATCTGTATACTTAGTTGATTTCATAAGAGTTTATTGCAAATATTGACATCTGGGCGACATCTTTACTTGGCTGATTTCATGAGAGTTCATTGTGCATATTGACATCTGGGGAACATCTGTATACTTAGTTGATTTCATGAGAGTTTATTGTGCATATTGACATCTGGGGAACATCTGTATACTTAGTTGATTTCATAAGAGTTCATTGCACATATTGACATATGGGCGACATCTTTACTTGGCAGATTTCATGAGAGTTCATTGTGCATGTTGACATCTCAGGAACATCTTTACGTAGCTGATTTCATGAGAGTTTATTGTGCATATTGATGTCTTGGGAACATCTGTATACTTAGTTTATTTCATAAGACATATTGACATCTGGGCGACATCTTTACTTGGCTGATTTCATGAGAGTTCATTGTGCATTTTGACATCTGGGCGACATCTTTACTTGGCTGATTTCATGAGAGTTCATTGTGCTTGTTGACATCTCGGGAACATCTTTACATAGCTGATTTCTTGAGAGTTCATTGTGCATATTGACATCTGGGGAACATCTGTATACTTAGTTGATTTCATGAGAGTTCATTGTGCATATTGACATCTGGGGAACATCTGTATACTTATTTGATTTCATTAGAGTTCATTGCACATATTGACATCTGGGCAACATCTTTACTTGGCTGATTTCATGAGAGTTCATTGTGCATATTGACATCTGGGCGACATCTTTACTTGGCTGATTTCATGAGAGTTCATTGTGCTTGTTGACATCTCGGGAACATCTTTACGTAGCTGATTTCTTGAGAGTTCATTGTGCATATTGACATCTGGGGAACATCTGTATACTTAGTTGATTTCATGAGAGTTCATTGTGCATATTGACATCTGGAGAAGATCTGTATACTTAGTTGATTTCATGAGAGTTCATTAGGCACATTGACATCTAGGAGACATCGGCTACAGATTGCATGTGAGTGAGCTATGGACTGTTGGTTTGAATAATTGTTACCACTAATTTATGACTCAGAATACCTGAAATTAATATTTGGGGCTGATATTTCTAAGCATTTATGATGTAAAGCTATTTTTTGAGGTTTGATATTTCTGAGCATTGTTAATAAAAGGCCAATATTTGAGACTTCTCTTCTTCGCATTCATTGGCTAAACTCTGGTGTAGGATTATGATTATTGGTTCATTTCTGGACTTGGTCTTATTCCAGATTGTTAGCTTTGCCTGCACATCCATTTTACAGATCAGGCTTATTTGTATGCAGACTGTTGGTTCCTCACCTTTCAGGCAGAGGCACTCTGACTTTGAAGGAAACACTCGTAATCAGATGACTTCTGTGACGTGCTTGTTAAGGAGGCAGTGGGTCGGTTCTTTTTTTGTCTTTCCCCACAAGGGGGCCTGGAACCCACACAGTGAACTTGAGGCTGATATTTCCAAGCTTTTTGAAAACAAAATTATAAAACCAGTATTTTGTGGCTGATATTTCTGAGCTTTTTGTGGGTTTAAAAAAAAAGGCAAATATTTGGGGTTGAATTTTTTAGCCCTTTTCATTTTGAAAACCCCAATATTTGGGGCTAATACTTCTGAGCAGTTTTGATATAATAAAAAAAACCAAAAAAAAAACAACAACCATAACAGTATTTGAAACTGATACTTCAGAGAAGTTTTTAAATAAAAGACTAGAATTTGGGGTTGATTTTTCAAATCATATTTGATTTGTTAAAAATACATTTGAGGCTGATATTTCTGAGCATATTTGATAAAAGGCTTGCATTTGCGCTTGATTTTTGAAAGCATATTTGATAAAATAAAATATTTTTGAAAACAAAATATAAAACCAGTATTTTGCGGCTTTAAATTTATGAACTTTGTGTTTTTTTAATAGTTTTTTTAAAAAGAAAAATCTAAATATTTGGGGTTGAATTTTTGAAGCCATTTTGATTTTGAAAACCCCAGTATTTGGGGCTAATACTTTAATTAGGCAGTTTTGATTTAAAAGAAACAACCATAACTGTATTCAGAGCTGATACTTCTGAGCATTTTTGATAAAAGACCAGAATTGGGGTTGATTTTTCTAATATTTAACTTAAAAAAAAAAAAAAATGCAGTATTTGTGGCTAATATTTCTGAGCATTTTTTTTTATTAAAGAAAAAAGTATTTGAGGCTGACATTTGTGATTTGATGCCAGCTGTTTTGACTAACATTTCCAAGCATTTGTGATGGCAAGCCATTATTTTAGCAGATTTTAAACTTTTCTCCCATTTTATTGTGGTCATATTAACAAACAATAGCATGGTTAACCATTAATTCTTTGAAACTTTGCTTGCAGTTACTTTGCTCTGGAACTCCTGAAAGAAAAATGTCAAATTGTGCATAACCTCACCATCTGATTGTCATTATTATTGTTCTCTGATATTCCTAATGAATAATCTTGATTACAAGTCTTTGTCACCATTTTCCATTCTCTTTAACCTTTTTGTCAATCAAACATATTAGTTCTACTGTTTTCTAGTGCTAGTATTAGTGGGAGTCTTTTTTTAATTCTCATCTGTTGTTAAATTCATAGATCATTGAGCTCAAAGTTAATTTTCACTACTGGGTGCTGAAATCACACCAGAGTTCAAATCACTCCAGCACAAGAAGAACACACATTTGAAGATTTCTGTAATAAATGTAAGAAACAGTATTTGATTTTCACGTGAGCAGATATTTTATTAAGGAATCCAAAATATAACTGGTTTTAAAATTTGACATCATCTGACCTCAGACAGACTTTTATATTCCCTATGTTCTTCAGCAGATGTCATAAGGTGCAGATGCTGATTGTTCTAGTAACATAATTAGTGTAAACATAAATGATGTGTTCTTTTATACATTTCTCCTGTCTGGAACTTCACTTGAGTCTATACTCAAGTATGCTGTGGTGAAATAAGTATGCTGTAACATATAAGAAAAAGAGATTGATTTCATAGGCGGATTTCAAATGCTGCACTAGACATTACAAAATCTCTATGTCCTTTAAGAGACAATTACATAAGGTGCTGACCATAGGTTTTTAACCTGCCCTATTAAGATCTAATGATAGGTGTTTGCCCCTTTTTGAAATTGCTGCCACTTGATTTGACACACTTATGTCATCTCTGTTTTTTTTAAAGACTAAATCTGTTGTCACATGCCAGTATAACTTCTTCAGGAATGTCAACAAGAGTTTTGAGATTTGTGAAACGAGTAAAAGGCAGATGGCACCAAATTGAGAAAATAGGAACGGTGTTTATGTTGAAGAATCTAGACATTAAAAGCCTTCAGTGCTGACAGAAGCAGTTCATGTTTTGGGAGAGAGTGATTGTCTTGAGGGAAAGGAAGATTCTGAGTGTGTGCTATTCTTGATTTTTTGGTCACAACCTGCTGTTTTTTTCTCTTTTCTTAGTTTGGTAAGGGGATCTGCTTAGTGTTACCAAAATCCATAGTCATTATAGCAAACCCGAGTGTCATCTACTGTCAAAGTGGTTGTCAGAATGTTTTCTTATTGGCATTTAGTTTTTAGTTACTGTTCACAGCAATTTATCTTTGTTTGCTTCTGTTACATGTCAGTAGGTGTTGAACTCAGCTGGCATAAACTTTTCTCATTTTCACTCTGTTAGCTAACATTTATTAACTGATCTTCCACTCACATTTACTTCACAGTTATTATTATTATTATTTTATTTTTAACCTAGTCAGTTTTTTTCCACTCTAGTTACATTTCTGTCATTGCGTTCTGAGATCTTTCCCCCAGTTCTTACAAAATAACACAATTTAAATGACTGTACTGAAACTGCCTATGCAAGTTTATATAATAATAATTTTAAAAAATGGAATCATTCAAAGGGCAGGAATTATGAAACACTGTTCATTCTCTCTCTGTATTTCTTTAGATCTTTTATTTTTTTCTATAACATCAGAAATTTTATCAAAGCTCTTGTTTCTGACTTCACTGTTGTTCTGAATTCTTCTTCTTCTTCTGCTTTTTTCCTGACAGTGGAGCATAGCTTGTCAACAAATTCATACTGTTGTCCTATCCTTTTCCATTGCAAGTAGCTCACCCCATATACTTTCCATCTTTTTAACTTCACATTCAAATTTCTTTCTCCTTTGGGTATTTTGGTCTGCCTTCATTTCTGTGCCACTGTAGGTTGCCCTATAAAGACATTCTGTTTAGCTCTGACTGAGTTTAGAGCAGGTATTCTGTGCCATGCACCATAACAGAACTTGTTGATAAAACAAATTTATACTTTACAAGTTCAATGAGAATATGAGAAGTTTTGAACGTACCATTCTTACACTTTCTTCTGTTACTTTATAGTGTAAAAAACTAACGGCCAGCCTCTTATATTATTTGTCTTCTTCTTCTTCTTCTTCTCCTCCTCCTCCTCTTCTTTTTCTTCTTCTTTTTCTTCTTCTTCTTCTGCTTCTGCTGCTGCGTGCGGCAGATGCTGCTTCTCCTCCTCCTCCTCAAGCATTCCAAGCCCTTGATGTTCATTGTCATAGATGTTACCAACCTCTATTCTTCTCCTCGATTGGTCTTCTTTTTCTAGATGGTGACACTCAAGTGTTTATAGATCTCCTTGTCTGCCTTATAGTAAACAACTATTCAACTCCCGTGTGTACACAGTTTTTATCTTTGTCAATATCTATGTATGTCTCATCCATTTCAGTCTGTTAACCCTGATGGTTGGTGATTAAAACAGATGATACATTTTATTGTTGCTTCTCCTACTCTATTCCATGCTGTTAGCATCTTTGATTGGTGCCTATTATATTAGTTATCCAGAAACTATAATTATTTGTCTAATACCATATACCAAATAAAAATTACATATATGATGCATGTATTTATATAGATGTCAACACTTTTGTGCAGACATTTTGTGGTGTCACTCTGTATTGCAGCTATATTTATATGTATATGCCTCATAATTTTGCACTTATGAATTTAGTGTTATTAATTTATGAACTTTGAAAGAAACAGTAAGTGAATTACATAATTGTTACCCATACTTTTTACCTATCTCTTAGCGCATGGAAAGCATTTTCTCAAAAATATCATTGAAGGTTAGTATTTTATTAATTAAAATATTGGGGATGGCCTGTAAGATGTTCACACATATTAAATCCAATATTCACAGAAAAAATGACCAGTTTGGATCAGAGTCTTCTTTTATTAATCTCCTCTGTTTTGTCTTCCGTCCTATTTTGGAGGTTTTGTTTTTAAGCAACTCAGTTTTACGTGTACTTACTAGATATTTGAAAAAATTGGATCTTATTTATCAGTGTGTAAATCTGTCTTGTAAGTAAAGCGGTAAGGTGCCCTTTTCATGTCAGTGGTTCCCTGGGCATATGATGCCAGATTCTTATTTTTATAAGCTGGCTGCTGAAGATGAGGACGGAGCATGCATGCCCTGAATGCAGTGATGACAATTCTTGACTCAACTCAGCACAGGTTATGCATTCAAATCTGCACTGAGCTGGATTTAAAAAAAAAAAAGACTGGTTCCCAGTTTGGCCCAGCCTAAAATTGAGAACAGGAAAACTCCTGAAAAGTAAAGGTGGCCAACATGACTTCACTATAATCACCCTGCAAGGTGCCGATCGCTCTATAAAATATAGGTATTTGGCAGATAGTGCAGCACCTATATTGTATAGACTAGTTGGTGGGGGATTTGGTCAGCATCACGCCGGCTGCCATTACTTCCCGGGACATTTGAGGTTGCGTCGACCTGAGAGCCAAGATAATGTTTGAAAAAAGTCTGGCTATGGATGTAAAATAAAAGTAACACCGTAAACACCATAAGCGGTTAAAAGGGTTCTTTACTTATGTTCGTGTGATGCTTTCAGCATCTTACCAGCCATCTTTACTCTAAATTTTGCCCGGGCAGCGCCTTTAATCTACTCTTTTCGATGTCCAAATGCCAAGGTATTTTTCACATGAACAACAATGCACACAGGCGTCCGATCTTGCTATCCAGAGACCAGGGGGAATTACTAGAAGTCCAAGTCCACGTAACCATTTGAGATAAAGTTAGATATTATCAGACAAACTGTAGGAACAAAAACTATGCAGCAAATTGATTGAGAAACAGATCAAATGGTTTGGCCATTTAGTAAGAATGCAGCCAGAACAACTACCAGTGCATGGGCTACACATAAAAGGATCTGAAGTGAAAGCAAGAGGCCGTCCTAGAAGAACATGGATTGATGACATTAAAGAGCTTCTACATTGACACGGAATGACAGTAGCCATTGCTGCCCATTAAGCAATGGATCACAAACTGTTCCTCCCCACAACGCTTAATGGCAGAAGTGGAAACTGATAATGATGATTATGAGTACACAGTTCTTGTTTATATTTCCATTGTTAACAAAGATGAAACTTTTCAGAATATGTTTACAACTGATGATTACATAATTATTTTGTAATATTTCTCTGAAATTATGGATCTGTGTGTGTATGTATCTTTGTGCAAGCTTGATCATATACATGCTTTTATGTATAAGCATATGCATTCTTGTTTGTATGTGCGCACGTTTGCATGCATGCTTGCACGCGTGTTTGTGGTTTTCTTTTTAAATCTACTAACTTCTCTCAATGCTTATTAGTATTTCATTTATTTTTTCTAACTTTTCAGTAGTGACAAAAATAGTTTGTCAACAGTTGGTAATTTTTTTAGCCTTAAGACAATGTTTCTGCAGTTTACAGTAGCTGTCATTATATTTTCTCTCCTGTTAGCTATACTGTGTTAGTGACATTTTGTATACTTAAATCATAATTAACATTTAAAAATAATAAAGAGGATAGTGTCTTCAGGCATATCGTCATCCACACATGGGCAGAGAATTTAGCATGTGTTGTGTGCATGAATAATAAATTAACCTCATTTTGCTTTAAAAAAAATAAATATTTTAGTGATATAGTGTTTCTGTCACAATGAAGTGGTTTCTCCTGACATCATCATTTATTGGTATTTCTGATATTACTGAATTCTACTTTAAAAAAAAAAAAATAAAAAAAAACACGCACACGCACACACACACACACCCCCCACCCCCCCCCCCCCACAAACACACACATATATAATTGCAAATACCACTATTATATTTTGACAGACTATAGAGACACATAATAAAGTAAAGAGCCTTAGTTAACTCTTAGTGTACCTTGTTCAACAAAAAATAGTTTGAAAAATCACCCCAAATTTACCAAACTCAACTTAAGCAATTCTGGTAAATTCTTTACATCCAAAGGAAGTAAAATCATTATATTCATACAACACACACACACATATATATATATATCCAGCCCCTTCCCCCCCCCCCCCCCCCTTCCCCAGACACACACATAAATAATTGCAAATTCCTCCAATTGAAATATCTATAGTTATTGAAGATACACAGACTATTGAGACACATATTAAAGAGCCTCAGTTATATTTTAGTGTACCGTGTTCAACAAAAAATGGTTCGAAAAATTTACCAAACTCAGCTTAAGCGATTCCGGTAAATTCTTTACATCCAGAGGATGTAAAATCATTATATTCATACAACAGGTCTTTTTTGGAACATCGCTGTCATCAAGGCACGCCAGAAAGCCACTTGATTTCTACCAGCTTTCCTGTCTCATTAACTTTTATGCCCAGGTTATTCCTGTAATCCTGTATCCACCATCTTGGTGGATGTCCTATGACTATTCTCCCAAAAACATTACCCTCCATTACTGTTCTTTCTAAACCATTATGGCGTTTGATGTGGCTAAAGTATTTAAGTTTATGAGAAGCAGTGCTGTTTATGAGCCAGTACTCTTGATATTCAGATAGTTAAGAATGTAAGGAAATATGGGTCTCATATTCTATTACAGTATTTCTACTAGTAATCTATGTGTTGACATATGCTGGATTATTCAGGGATAAGTCAAATTGAACCAGAGAGCTTCAGATTACTTTTACCAGTTTCCACTCAGTTTGTATTCTCCAAAATAAGCTTGTAGAATTGTTTTCAGCTTTTGCATTAAAAGTTAAAAGTATAATGTGCTTGCTTGTTTCCGTCTTCTTTTGTAACAGGATTTTGCTTGACAGATACAGCTTTTTGACCCAGCTCCATAAATTGAGTACCACTTAATTTTACGATTTAAAAAAAATAATTGTTCTTAGGAAACAAGACAAGGAAAGGAGTTTTGACTGAAAGGTCGTTTCTATTCTCTTCTTCAGGCAAGGAAACAAAGGCAGTCATGACATCAAAATAAAAGCAGTCATAATATCACTGTTTGCAGATTATAATACAGTAAAAAAAAAGTCTTTTCTTTACATCAATGAATTGACTTTTCTTTACCAGGAGAAACAGCTAAATAGCTTTCACATATAATGCCTATGAAGAATAGTCATTTACCAGGAGAAGTTGATAAGTACTGATGTATCGGAAAGAGAAGGTTTTCTTAATGCTCAGGCACCAGGAATGCAGATGGCCAGGACACTTTACAGGACAGAGGATGGTAGAGTCCCTGAGGACATCCTCTATGGTGAATTACAGATGGGGAGAAAATGTGTCAGCCTCGGTACAAGTATTGATGTGGATTGATGGGAATGGGATACCATGGCACTTGTTGCATGGAGGGGGAAATGAAGAAGGGAACAGGGAGAAAGGAGAAAAGGATTGTAGAAGGTTAATAACTGAGCATCTGGGAAAAAGCAAGTTTGCTGGAAATCCCATGCACTGATTGTGGAGGACTTTTCTTAATGCGAGCGGGTCTTGCTGGTCACACTAACCATCGCCTTAGCCACAGCCAGTGATTCCTATGCCTACCTGTAGAACAGTATAACACCCTTGTCTGCAAAGACAGAAAAGTGCCAGACAAAATAAAGTCACATCATATTTCACAGTAATGTGTTTTTCTGTGTGAAGGAATAAGCATCTTTTGCATTTTTCTGTCTGAAGAGATAAGCATCTTCTTACATTTTTCTATCTGAAGAGATAAGCATCTTCTTGCATTTTTCTATCTGAAGAGATAAGCATCTTCTTACATTTTTCTATCTGAAGAAATAAGTATCTTCTTGCATTTTTCTATCTGAAGAGATTAGCATCTTGCGATTTTCTATCTGAAGAGATAAGCATCTTCTTACATTTTTCTATCTGAAGAGATAAGCATCTTCTTGCATTTTTCAATCTGAAGAGATTAGCATCTTCTTACATTTTTCTTTCTGAAGAGATAAGCATCTTCTTGCATTTTTCTATCTGAAGAGATTAGCATCTTCTTGCATTTTTCTATCTGAAGAGATAAGCATCTTCTTGCGTTTTTCTATCTGAAGAGATAAGCATCTTGCATTTTTCTATCTGAAGAGATAGGCATCTTCTTGCGTTTTTCTGTCTGAAGAGATAAGAATCTTCTTGCATATTTCTGTCTGAAGAGATAAGCATCTTCTTGCGTTTTTCTATCTGAAGAGATAAGCATCTTGTTGCGTTTTTCTGTCTGAAGAGATAAGCATCTTTTTGCGTTTTTCTGTCTGAAGAGATAAGCCTCTTCTTTCGTTTTTCTGTCTGATGAGATAAGCATCTTCTTGTTTTTTTCTGTCTGAAGAGATAAGCATCTTTTTGCATTTTTCTATCTGAAGAGTTAAGCCTCTTCTTGTGTTTTTCTGTCTGAAAAGATAGGCATCTTCTTGCATTTTTTTTCTGAAGTTGTAGGCATGAGATTGCATTTTCTATCTGAAGGAATAGACTACTTCTTGTAAAGTAGCTTATTTAAAAAAAAATAATTATAGTTACATAATTCAAAGTTTCCTGTGTCTATATTTACAATCTTTTGCCCTTTATCCCCAAGCTAAGCTTCTGCTTTATTATACTGGCTTTGATTGGGTGGAGAACTGGAAAATCTGGATTTCTCTGAAGATATTGTTCTGTTAAGTAAAAATAACAAAGTCATGCAAGAAAACCAGACAATTTGTCGTCTACAGCATCAAAATAGGACTACAAATAAGTTATGAAAAAACAATATATTAATGATACCAAGAACAGATCATGTAGACGTCATGCTAGAGAGAAAAAACAGTTAATGTAATAGACCATTTCACCTGTTTGGGCAGCAATATTGACTCTCACGGAGATGCTATAAAGGAAATTATATGCATTGGAAAAGCAACTACAGTCCTTTTAAAAAAAAATATGGAGCTGTAGGTTGTACAGCTTTAAGACCAAAGTACTAATCTTCAATTCTAATGTCATTTCACTTGTAACATATGTCAGAGCCACCAAGTATTGGAGGGAAAGTTGAATGCATTTGAAAATAAATCATGAATATAAAATGGGATGGAGTCAAAAAGATTGAGGAGATTAGAGAAATGTATGGACAAATATTTGTATCAACTGCAGTAAGACTAAGAAAGGGGAGATATATTCGGCCCAGTCTGAGACGAAATGAGCAAAGAATTACAAAACAAACACTGAAATGAGAAACAATTGGTCTGAGAAAAAGGGGATTTCTAAAGAAAACAATATAGAAAAAATAATAATTACAAGAGGCTAAAAATGCTGGACTGAACTCTTAATCAGAAATCAAGAGCATTGTGTGCAGTATAGCAGTGTAGAGAAATAGAATGTGAGCCCTACGTGACATCTAACAACATACAAAGGAAGAAAATGAAGCTTATGCTTTCATTCAGTTGACTCTAATCATACTATATATGTTGCCATGTTCTAGAGCTCACTCCATGCCCTGCCCCATATTATTCACCTCAAATGTATCTAATTTTGTTATCCATTAATTTTTAAAGTCTTCCTCTATTTTTTTTCTTGTGAGTTTCTGTGCACAGACATTCTATTTTTGCTATTATCAGGTTTTCTCAGTGCATATTTTACCCAATGCCAGTGTCTTTCCCTTACCTCTTTGAAACTGTTTAGTTCTTCCCCAATGTCTTCATTAGTAATTCTGTAATACCATTTAATTTCTTCCCTTTAGTGCATGAGATAGTTAATACTTTGTGTATGTAAAGGCATAGTTAACTGTTAATAATTTTTTTTATGCTCTATGTATCTGCTCTTTACATTTAAATTAATTATTCCAATGATAGCACTAGGCTTCTTTTTCCTTTGTTTTCCACTTCTTTGACTTAGTGCTATGAAGCCTCCTGTTGCCTTTTGTATTTGAAAAAAAAAAATGGAAATCCTATTCTTTCTTCTATGGTTACATAGCTGCTTAAATAGATGTATGATTTCATATCGTTTACCACAGGAGACTGGCTTATCGCTTGATTAATTATCATTTTTAGGTCTTACCCCTATGCATTTTTAGGCCTACATGTTGTGATATCCCATCAAGTGTGTATCTATATTTAGTATGATTTTGAGAATGGGACAGGAAGGGAGGGTTAGTGAAGTCCAGATATCCTTAGACTGTTCTCAAATTCCAGTCTTTTTCTTCTTTATCTGCATTCACACTTAAAATTGCATAGTACCATGGTCGTAACCATCGCAAGACAAACCGTCCGCAGCAGGGATTGAACCGGGCACCCCAACATTACGAATCGCCTTCGCAACGCCTAAGCCACAGACGCCGACGACTAAGAGTTTACTGCATCATTATTCCCCAGAAAGCAAACAAGGAGTTTGAAGTTTGAACAACGAATCAACATCATGGCACAGGACTAGTAACCAATAAGTGCTCCGTTCTTCTTCTAACTCAAGTCTGAGTCTGAAAAGGCTCAGAACAGTGCACAGGCTCTGTAATTCTGGCGAGGATCCCGAAATACTTTGGGTAGACTTTTAACTCCAAATTTTGCCAGGGCAGCGCCATTAGGCTACAGCAAAAAGGAAATATACAAAAGGTTGCCGTTATCTGAAACATTCAGAGGTACGCAACCACAAAAAAAAATAAATGGGTCGAAGTGGGGGGGGGGGGACACCTCAGTTTTCCTTAATTTTCTAGACTTTGTACTATTCTGATTACAGTTGTTATACACATTCGTATATCCTTGTATGCAGGTGAAAGAGGACTGACTGTTTTATGTACAAAACCCACCATTTTGTTTTGTGACCTCAAGCTTGCCCCTGGAATGTCAAGGACTTGTAAGTACCTCATTTTTGTAATCGCATTGTTTCAGTATGATCATCTTTCATGCTGTTCTGCCAACTTGTCTAGCGTTTTCTCTTTCTGTCTTTTTCTTCTTCTTCCTCCTCCTCTCCTTCTTCTTCTTCTTCTGCATTGTTCTTAACAGGGTGATTGGCACATATTGGAGGGGCAGATGGTCTTTTCTTTTCTCCCCGCAAAAGTGGTTTCTCTGTCTTTCTCTGTAATGAAAAATACAATCAAAGAACCTTTCTCATACCATTTGTGCATTAGACATTGGTTCTGATCTCATTATTTATAGACCAATCAGCACTTCCCATGATTTTTTGCTGGTATTCTTTTTAAGCTGTTGACCTTTGGGGTCTCCGTAGCATAGTGGTCAAGCCATTCGCCGTGTGCTTTGAAGGTTGTGGGTTCATTTTACGGATGCATCATTTAGTTCACAGTGGCGTTATTACTGGCACTTCTATGGATCATTACTGGAGCTACTGTCTTCCTGCTTTTTATTACACTTTTGGCAGGTGGCTGTCCTTTCTGTAAAAGGAAACTAAGCCACATGAGATAGACCCCGGGGCAATGAAATCGATCCTCTCATCTTTAAGTTTAATATATATGAGCCTTATGAGATAGACCCTGGTACAATGAAATCGATCCTCTCATCTTTAAGTTTAATATATATGAGCCTTATGAGATAGACCCTGGTACAATGAAATCGATCCTCTCAGCTTTGTTTAATATATATGAGCCATATGAGATAGACCCTGGTACAATAAAATCAGTCCTCTCAGCTTTAAGTTTAACTTTTTGACCTGGGACTACAATTAATTGATTTTGTTTAAAAAATCCACCCTGGTGAATATTTTTCTTTGTCTTAGCGCTCTTCAGCTGTAAACACCAGTGGAAAGTCCTGGTTGTTTGTCCACTTCTGGACTTTGGTCTTGTTCCAGAACTTGAGTTTTGCATGCACATCCAGTTTACAGATGTGTCTTATTTGTGTGCTGACTGTTTGTTCCTCGCTTCTTAGGCAGATTGCTCTGAACTTAGAGCAACCCTAATAAGACACCTTTTACAATTTGCTTGTTGGGGTGGGAGTGTGGGTCTATTCCCCCCTCCCCTTATCCCATCATAGGGGCCTTACTACCCACAGGCGGAGGTATATATTCAAATGCAGTCCCTTTATGATAGCAGTCAGGAATCTAGGGACTGCATTGCCACAGCTCATATCTTTGTCCTGAATACCTTCTTCTTTCCCAGTTGTTATAGATGTTTCCTGGCATGGTCAAATAAGGACAGCTCTCTTCTTCTGAGACGGTTGTTTGTCATTGTGAATTTGCCTCCACCAGTATTTGGATGTTATTCTTTTTTAGGTGCCATAGCATACTTTGTAGCCCTGCAGTTGATACGAAACAGAGGGGCTAGTATCTAAGAGAAGATTACTGACATTTTAAAAGATCTGAACATCATGGAAGATTTGATGATAAACAGCATCTTGACTCTAAAGCTTAAATATTTTTGTCATATCAGGCAGCATGGTGGATTTGAAAAAAATAATAGCAGAAGGCATGTTACCAGGAAGGAGGGGCAGGGGCCGACCAACACGAAGATGGGCACAGGATTAAGTGACTCGAATATGAAAGTACACGAGGCGGTAGAGCTGGTGAGAAACCGAGTTTCTTTCAGGCAGGCCGTGATGAAAGCGACAGTCTGCAAAGGACCTGCTACATGATCTTGATGAGTATCTGTGATAGTATAAGGAAAAACAAGATACAATGCACAGCTTGTGAGGTTTATTTTGAAACTGGTTTTTGTTATTGTTGTTTATAAGATTATTGAATATTTTATTCCCTTGTGAGTTCCGGTGACCCATTTTGGGAAAATAAACAAATAAACCCACTGCCTTCCTAACAAGCATGCAGTACAAGGCAACTAATTATAGGAGTTTCCTTCAGCGCTGCAGTGAATTATCTGAGAGGCAAGAAACCAACAGCTTGCATACATATAAGCCAGGTGTGTAAAATGGATATGCACACAAATCTAAAGTCCTAGAAACAAGACCAAAGTCCAGAATGGATGAACGACCAGAACTTTCTGCCAGAGTTTACAGTCAGTTAACAGTTAAAAGAAGAAGAAGAAGAAGTAGAAGAAGAAGAAGAAAAAGAAGGTTTTGTTACCATATTCAAAAAGTAATGGCAGATTACTGAAAGTAAATTTCATCCTAAAACCAAACCAGCTAACAAATGATGGGGTTGGTTCTGCACAGTCCTTAAAGGATACACAACTAACTGTTACCTTGTGTTTATATTTATTGTTCTAATCCCACCACCCTGGCAGATCAGTATGAAGAAGTGATCCCAACAGATGCCCCTCCCTCTTTTAGAGGTCAGGCTGTGAAATATTCATACAAAGTCATTGTTGGTACTCAGAGACTGGAGAAGGCAACCAAGATGGTGAGAGTACCCTTTAGAGTACTCGTCTTGTATGGTAAGTTACATCCTTAAATATTTCTTTTTTGATTCCTATAATGGAAACATCATGAAACAAAGGGTGTTTCAGCCACATTTATTTTAACATATTTTATGTTTTTATGAAATAAAGCCAGCGACTGTAGTTTTAGTGGTTGTGAACAGAGTTTCATAATTCCATCATATTGGGGATTTTTCATCTGTAGACAGTTTGGCACCAGATAAAATTGCACTGATTTCAGCAATGTTTAGGTTTAGACGACGGATCAACATCAAAGCATAAGGGTAGTAACCCATAAGTGCTCCGTTCTACTTCTGACTCAAGCATCAGCCCGAAGAATCTCAGCCCAGTGCACGAACCCCGTAGCACTACAAAATGATGGTGATGAGTTTATGTGATAGGATAAGGAAAAACAAATGATACTACGCACAACTTGATTGTACTGAGGTTTATTTTGAAACTGGTTGTTTTATTTTTGAGTTTGTTGAATTATTGAGTGTTTTATTCCCGGTTCCGGGGACCCATCTTGGGAAATAAAAGAATAGACCCACTGCTTTCCATGATACATGACTGTCATTATCTTATGTTATTGCCAGTTTGCTGATTTTCTAGGACTGTTAATTCATGTCTGCTTTCCATGATACAATGTTATCTGTATTTAAATCATTCATAAAAACTCTGGCAAACTGTTGGACATAACTATTAGCTAGCTACAGTTGAAATTGAGAGGATGAACTTAATTGCATCAGGTTTTATTCCATTTGTCTCAGTATCTCACTGCAGAATGGCTAGCTGCCTGCCAAAAGCACAATGTAAAGCACAATCTCTATAGCTTCAGTGATGACCCAAAGGATTTCCATACAAATTGCACTCATGAACTGATGGCACAGCCATGAAATGAACCTGCGACTTTCAGAGCAGTTGCCAAATGGCTTGAGCTCGTGGCCACCAAGGACCTCCAATTGCCAAGTATTTCTGTATATTCACCTCATCATTGGCATCATTGTCTTGTCTATTGGCATGAGCGATCATACCTCTCAACAACCCCCTAGTCTCTAGGTTAATTCAACACATTGACGTGTATTGGGCACATCTGTGCTTGCACACACACACACAACTATAGCTACAACTACTACTAATACTGCTGCTGCTACTGCTACTACTAGCCCAGCAATTCCCAATCTTCTTTGAGTTGTCACCTTATTTTACAGAGGAAAAGTGACCCAAGACCCTAAACACTAAAAAAGGGCATTTTTATAGGGTAAATGAAAACACATTAAAGATACATTTTCAGTATAATGGAATATAATTCAAAATAATGCTCATTTACAACATTTTTAATGCTATGATTGAAATTGTTGCTAAGCAGCACCTGCATTCTGCAAACAAATCTCTGCAAGTCTTGAATGCCTGTTTTTGGTTTGTTGCTTTCCCATATTTAAATTTTCATAGCTCATCACTGCCTGGCGACACCACCAAAAATACAGCTATCTCATTTGGGGTCATGACCCACTGGTTGGTAATCAGTGTACTAGCCCCATGTTTTTGTAGACCAGTCAATGGCTGTTTGATGACTGGTCAGTATCATTCCTGGTGTCTTCATATACCAGAACCTCTAAGGCATCCATTGTTTTTAAGGCTACATTTTGGGAGCCCTGGTTAATAAAAAAAATTGTTTTCCCACCTTAGGGATTTGTACACTGGGGTCCCTGGCTGGGTTTTGGAGCCGAGAGAGAGAGAGAGAGAGAGAGAGTGCGTGCGTGTACGCGCACCATTGGTTGTACCTTGCCGCTAGGAAATAGTAGACTTACTGCCTTCCCAACAAGTATGCGGTAAAAATAAACTAATTAGAGGTTTTCTTTGAAGTCAGAGTGCATATGCCTGAGTCTGCATACAAACAAGGCTGATCTGTAAAATGGATGATCTGGAACAAGGCTGAAGTCCAGAAGTGGATGAATGACCAGAACTTTCATCTAAAGTTTACAGCCAGTGTATTCTATGAAGAAGAAGAAGAAGAAGGAAATACTGGGTTAGCAGACATGCATGCTAGTGCTGTGCTGTTACAGCGCAGCTTATTTTCTAGGACTATACATTCATGTCTGCTTTCCAAGATACAAGACAGTCATTATCTCATGTTATTGCCAGTTCACATATTTTCTGGGAGTGGGTATTAATTTATATCTGCTTTCCTTGATACAAGACAGTCATTATCTTATGTTATTGCCAATTCACTTATTTTCTAGGACTGTGTATTAATTCATGTATGCTTTCCATGATACAAGACTATGATTATCTTATTTTACTGCATTCCATTATCTGTTCTTACATTCATCTTACCAGTTGTTCCAATATGTACCAGCTGTTTTTGATCACAGTCGATGTCACTGCACATTCGGCATTCCCTTGCTTGCTCGGTCCTCTGATGCAGCAGCCATCCAAGGTGCCTCTACTGAAGCTGGTTATAATGTTTCTTATCTTGACCTCAAAGACAGTAACAACATGCTTCACTCTGAGATCAAATAATCATTTCAGCGTCAGAGATTCATCATTATGTGTCATCAGCATTGTCCATATCGTGGTAATGATATCAGCATTGCCCATGCATCTTCGTACATATTATGGTGCAGTACTTGCCAGCTGTTTCATTCATTCATAATCTTTTACTCTGTGGCATGCCCAGATGTGTAGATCCAGGTGAGGGAGGTTGAGTGTGACTCTACCCATGGAAACTTCAGTGCTTATAAGTTTCTTGTATGCTGGCTCTTTGAGAACATTAAGATTCATAATTTTAACTGTGTGTGAATTCAGCTTGATGTTTACAGGCTTAAACGATATCAGTGTGTACAATGAGACGGAAGAGATTGCACCAAGTAACCCTTTTCTTCATAATTGTCGGAAGGAGACTTCAGTCTTAGATGTTGCTTTGCAAGTTATTTCCACTGTCACTGCCAGGAAAACTCCACGTAAGTCATTGAGACTATGATAATGTCATAGACAGTAAACCTTCCATTTAACTGATTCATGATATTTGTCAGTCTTAGTTTGATGTGCCACTCTGTGGCTGAAAAGTGCATTTAGCAGTTTCATAATCCTTATGTAATAGGATTTGATTTCTGCATGAATATGTTTTTTTTTTTAATTTAAGCCACTTGTGTGTGTGTGTGTGTGTGTGTGTGTATTTTTTTGTTTAAATCTGTGGTATCAGAGTCACACTATGGAAATAATTGAGGGCCTCAGCAGTTAATATTCCCAAAGGGATACACTGTAGCCAACTTTTTTTTTTTCTAGAGACGGCACACCATTTTTGAAATAAATTGATCTTCCAGGTAGCCCAGATCAGAATTTAAAAAGTCCTAAATACTCAAATTACTGTGGAAAACAAGGGGGGACTACACATTATTATTCCTAGAAATTGGAAAATTAAGGAAGAATGGCTAGTAAACAGAATATTTTTTCTGAAACTAAAATACTTTGGCAATAACAAATGCCATGGCACACTAGAAAAAAAATAATAGCAGAAGGCATGGTATCAAATAAGATGGGCAGGAGCTGACTCATGCAAAGATGGGCACAGGATATAAGTGACATGTTGGGTAGGAAAGTGCAAGAGGCAGGAGAGCTGGCAAGAGTCTTGAGTTTCTTTCAGGAGGGCCATGATGAGAGCGACAGTGTGCACAGGACCTGCTACAGGATGATGACTTGTATTATTGTTGTAGGGATGCTCATCAGTACCTGGGTGGGGGATTATTACTACATTATATATATTTTAAAAAACATGTGAAGTATAACTACCTAAATTGCTATATGGTAGTGAATCATGGAATGTGAATGTACAAACTAAAAAGAACTTGGAGACAAAGGAGATGTGGTTTCTCAGATGAATGTTAAGAATCCCTTGGACTGCTAGAGTAACTGATGAGGATTGCTTGAAGAAAGCTATTGAAAGCAGATCAGTATATACAGCTATAAGGAAAAGACAAGCACTGTTCTTTGGTCATGTGATGACGGGGGTGGGAGAGGCTTTTCAAAATATTGTCATTCCTGGGAAGGTCAGAGGTAGGAGAGGGAGAGGCAGACTGAGAGAAATGATGATGATGATAAATGGATTGCGATAGTGGCATGGAGGGATATCATCGGTGGAACTGATCCATAGGGCGAGGGGCCGAGATCCCTGGAGATACATGAACGCCTATGCCAGTCGGCAGGGCACTTGATGATGATGATTTCAGTATGAACATCATCATCATCCTTTTGTGCCATTTAAACATCATGTAATGCTCACTGTTTCCTTCAGTCCTCTCTTTCCTTTGAAATCCTTTTGATGTCATAGATGGAATCCAGTCCAGCACCTTTGGTCTCTCATCAACTTTTGTTTTATGGTTTCTCTTGGGAGTCCCCATTTCTTCAGCTCCTTATCTATTTCAGTATCTGCTTAGTGATTCTGTATCCACTTCTCATGATTTGCCTAATAGGTCACCACCTTTTTTGTTGTTGTCTTGTAACTGTTGTTGCTGTTAGTGGTTGTCCAGACATTTCTCTTTGTTTTTTCACCCCACTGGAATTCATTCAGTTTAATTCTCGCAGTCTCAGACAATGCGTGATGTGTGATCAGCACTTCTGTTAATCCCACAAAAAATGTAATATGTTTTAGTCCTGTTCACAGTTGGTCACAGCATAGTAAGAAATCTGGCTTCCCGAGTATTTAGCATCTGTAAAAGCAATACACTCCTAATTTCTCCTATTGGTTATTTATACATATGGGCATCTCCTATAAAGCTTTCTTGTCCTGAATGAGTTAATATTGATAATTTTCCTTGGGCGTTTGATTAGATCCTTTTAACTGTTATTCCAAGTCTTTAGTGGTTCTTTAGCTTTCGCTGGCATCTGTTAAAGATAAATAACAGGAAATAACATTGATGTAGTATCTGCCATTAATGGTTGTTTTTAAATCTGTTCTGTGATGCAGGCAAGAAAACACATAACGGTACCGAGGATTCAAACCTTAGTCTCGCTCATGAGAGTCCAGCACTCTTAACTGTTTGCCAAGTCATCCATGGCTGCGATCAAGCTGGGTATCTGGGTATTACTAACTGTGTTTGCAACCCCTAAGCCACAGACTCCTTGACTTGCGATATATGCAAGTTAACCACCATGTACACTTATGACCACAACAAAAGTAATTAAATACAAGTAGTAATTAAAGAAAAATAACTACATTGGCAGGGTAAAAAAGTTGCTGGATCTAGTGTATTTTTCCCAAAATGTACAATAATTATACATACACAGATTGAATTTAAATGTTTTGTGAATAATTTTTATAACCTGTTAGAATAAAAATAGTGTTGAAAAATGTAAATTCTTCTTCTTCTTCGCGTTCACCAGCTGTACACTCTGGTGGAAAGTTCTGGTTACTCATCCACTACTGAACTGCAGTCCTGCTCCAGAACCTGAGTGTTGCGTGTGCATCAGTTTTTCAGATCTCATTCTCTTGAATACAGACTGTTGGTTCCTTGCCTCTCCGGCAGATGCACTCCGACTTCAAAGGAAGCTGCCCAATTAGTCGACTCTTACGACATGCTTTTGGGGAGGCAGTGGGTCGATTCTTGTTTTCCCCACAATGGGACCCCGGAACCCACACGGGGGAAAATGTAAATTCGATTTATGGTCATTCGACTGTTAGTCGGAATGGAACTTGGTTGTAAGTTGAGGAGATGCTGCATTTACTAAAATTTTTGGCCTGGCCATACCATTTCCTGTAAATGTATGTATGTCCTTCAGTTTTCCACTATCTGCAAATAGTTCACAATTCATGAAATTGTTATAATTTTGAAATCAACACTAAAATTTGATCAAAATTGACCTTCCTTTCCGTGTTGTCCCAGCCGGAAATGGGTTTAAGAAAATGTTTTGGGAAGTAAAGAGCAGCCATTATTTTGTCGACCATATCACCTGTTTGGGGTTGATACAAATAAGTCTAGCATCGTTTGCCTGATGCGCCACTGCTGTGAAAAGGGTTGGTACTTCTGACTGTACTTATTAACAGATGAGCAGGTCCTTGTTATTTGACACTGCTGTTGTGATTAAATGTTGAACGTTGAATTAAGAATTGGCATCGCAGCACTCTGGACACTCCCATAAGCGTGCCATCCCCATCTTCAGCAGCAAGCGAAGAGTTCCATTTCCGATGGCATTAGTAACTGTCTGATTTTGCACTCCCAGTGTGGGTTCCGGGGCCTCATTTTGTGGAGGGAAGAAAAAGAACAAGCATATCTTAGGAGTTGACTAATTAATGGTCTTTCCTTTGAAGTCCGAGTGCATCTGTCCAAGAAACAAGGAACCATCCCTCTGCTTTCAAGTAAACCAGATCTGTAGAATGAAAGTGCATGCAAAACTTAAGTTCCTGGAACAAGACCAAAGACCATAAGTGGACAGACAACTAGAACTTTCCGCTAGAGTTCACAGCCAGTGAATGCTAAAAAGAAAAAGAACAGTACATGGCATTTGCAGCTCTGCTAGACATGGCATTTTTTAAAATGTTCTTTCAGATTCCTATAACATTACCAATGCTCGTGGACGAGTGGCCAAATTCTTGTTGTTTAAGCAGGCCTACAAGCTGGGAGAAGACATAGTAGGGATGTTTGACTTCAGTGTGGGGACAGTTCCTTGTGTTCAGGTATGTTGCTTGATTTAAGCAATAACATAACCCCCCCACCCCCTTTTCCCCTGTCCATTCATACACCCACACACTCACTAACTCAGTCTCTCTTTCCTACTCACTCTGCCTCACTCACTCACTCACTCACTCATCACTCGCTCGTGCACTTATCACTGACTCACTCATTCACTCACTCTGAATTGGAAGTCATTCATTCATTCATTCCTTCATTCATTCATTCATTGACCTTTAGTATCATTATATGTTGCATGTGGCTCGCAGTCCTTTTCTCCATTCATACGGACACCAGTAAATATGTTTGTGTCTGACTTCAGGGTTTTGAACGGACGCTAATAAGTGCTAATGAAATTCCTGCAGTGGTGAACAAATCAAATAGATAGGACTCTATGGGAACAGAAAAAAAAACAAACAAACTAGGTCTTAGTATTCTTTTTCTAAAAAATGCATGTAAATTTATGTCTACCAAATATATATTGTTGGAGTGTCATTTATATGTGTAGTCAGAATGACCCTTTTGTCTAAATGTTAATGTTACTAAGACCTGATTTATTATTTTATTCTCTTTAGTGTCTTTTTTCCCCTAAATATTGTTTGAATGCTCTGTAAAACAACATTGACAGAGCTAATTTCTAGTTCTTAAATAATTGTTAAAAGAAGCTTTTCTGTTTTTGTTTATTTGGGCAGTACTCAGTAACTTTGCAGAGTGAAGAGCAAATTTCTGAAGAGTGCAGACGCAAACCCAGCCAGGGGACTACAGTGACCTCGTATGTGAAGCACCAGGAGATGTGTCTTCACACTGTGAGGTCACATGTCAACATCCCAATTCCCTTGACTGCAACACCAGGATTTATTACAGATATTGGTAATTCAGTTGTCTTCTACTACATTTTGTTTGCCTCCTAATACATGTCATTTGTCTCATAATACGTGTCATTTGTCTCCTAATACATGTCATTTGTCTACTAATGCATGTCATTTGTATTCTAATACATGTCATTTGTCTCCTAATGCATGTCATTTGTCTCATAATACGTGTCATTTATCTCCAAATACAAGACATTTGGCTTATAATACATGTCCTTTGGCTCCTAATACATGTCACTTGTCTCCTAATACATACTATTTGTCTCCTAATACATACCATTTGGCTCCTAATACATGTCATTTGTCTCCTAATACATGCCATTTGTCTCCTAATACGTGTCATTTATCTCCAAATACAAGACATTTGGCTCCTAATACATGTAATTTGGCTCCTAATACATGCCATTTGTCTCCTAATACGTGTCATTTATCTCCAAATACAAGACATTTGGCTCCTAATACATGTCATTTGTCTCCTAATATGTGTCATTTATCTCCAAATACAAGATATTTGGCTCCTAATACATGTCATTTGGCTTCTAATACATGCCATTTGTCTCCTAACACGTGTCATTTATCTCCAAATACAAGACATTTGTCTCCTAATAGATGCCATTTGTCTCCCAATACATGTCATTTGTCTCCTAATACATGCCATTTGTCTCCTAATACGTGTCATTTATCTCAAAATACAAGACATTTGGCTCCTAATACATGTCATTTGTCTCCTAATGCATGTAATTTGTCTCCTAATATGTGTCATTTATCTCCAAATACAAGACATTTGGCTCCTAATACATGTAATTTGGCTCCTAATACATGCCATTTGTCTCCTATTATGTGTCATTTATCTCCAAATACAAGACATTCGGCTCATAATACATGTCATTTGTCTCCTAATACATGTCATTTATCTCCAAATACAAGACATTTGGCTCCTAATACATGCCATTTGTCTCCTAACACGTGTCATTTATCTCCAAATACAAGACATTTGTCTCCTAATAGATGCCATTTGTCTCCCAATACATGTCATTTGTCTCCTAATACATACCATTTGGCTCCTAATACATGTCATTTGTCTCCCAATCTGTCTCCGAATACATGTCATTTATCTCCAAATACAAGACATTTGGCCCCTAATACATGCCATTTGTCTCCTAATATTCATTCCTTGCAAAATGGTGCATGCATTAAACAAATGTATTTGAGGGATTTTGCTTGTAGATTACTGAGCACATAAGGGAAGCAAAGAATAGAACTGTAGTCTACTATGTGTGTAAGAGTGATTTTCTTCTGCTTGTGTGTTGACATATTGTGTTGTGGTTTACAGCTAGGCTGCAATATCTTCACCTTTTACTCCACTACATCTGATTTCATAAACACGTAATTAGTTGCACCAATACGGAACTTACATTGCAAAATCTAACCATTCTGAACAAGTCATCAGAACTGGGAGGAAAAGGGACAGACAGAGATTTTCCTTCAAGAATACCAAAAAAAAAAAAAAAAACCAGAAAAGCTTTAATTAGTTTGGAATTTGTGGAAGTCAAAAGAAATTAATCTAGTGTGAAACTTAAAATATTTGACTTCTTGATGACGTGGTGACACTGCCTTATGACAGATTATGAATGGCACCTTTTGTCTTTCCAGATGATAGAGCAGTTGGTAATAAACTACACCTTGTCTCTTTCCCATCTTTCCAGACAGTAGTGTTCAGGTGTGATAGAAGGATTCCTGTGTGGGTTCTAAGGCCATTTGGGGTGGGGAGGGAGAAAATAAACCCACTGCTTCCTTACAGGCATGTCGTAAAAGAAGAATATTAGGGATGTTTCTATAGAAGTCCTGATGCATTTACCTGAGAGGTTAGAAACCAAATGTTTGCATACAAACAAGCCAGATCTGTAAAAAAAAATAAAAAAAATAAAGGGATGTAAACGCAAATGTAAAGTTCTGGAACAAAATCAAAGCCCAGAAGCAGATAAACAACCAGAACTTTCTGCCAATGCCAATGTCTACAAAGAAGAAGAAGAAGAAAAAGAAGAAATGCTATGGGAATCTCAGCCCATAGTGATGGCAAGTGTGACTAGAAAGACCAGCTCATATTAAGACAAATCTTCCCCAATCAGTGCATGAGATTTCAGGAGCACTGTTGCCCCCACATGTAATTAACATCATTTTTCCTAGATGGTGAGCTCTGCAGTCATTTTCTAATTTGTCCCCTTCTTAATTTCCCCCCTCGTTGCAATGTGATTCAGTGCATCTTATTTCAGCCAAGACGAGTTAATGTCAGGGAGGAATTAAGTTTCTCCTCTCAATAGCACAAAGCCTCGGCAGTATGATCGAGACCATGTTTTCGCTGAATGATGGAGTTTGTAGTAATAAACTGCAAACATTTTATAATTGGTGCCCTTGCACCTATCTGCAATCATTTTCTCATTTGTGCCCTTTTCGCCCCCCCCCCCCACCCCCACCCCCGTTGCATTCATCTTATTCCAACCAAGATGAGGTAATATCAGGGAGGAATAAAGTTCTTCCTCTCCATCGCACAAAGGCTTGGTAGTTTGATAGAGACCATGTTTTAGCAGAAAGATAAGAGTTTGTAGTATGATAGAGACCATGTTTTAGCAGAAAGATAAGAGTTTGTATTATGATAGAGACCATGTTTTAGCAGAAAGATAAGAGTTTGTAGTAATAAACTTCAAACATTCTTTAATTGATGCCTGTGCAGAGTGATAATTTTCTGCAGAAAAGGAAGACTAAAATGGTTTGTCTGCATCACCAATGTGTAGCTCATGAAAAGAACTAAAAATTCTGATCAATAAAGAGATTGATGAATAGAATAAGCAGTGGGTAATGAATAGGACAAGCAAAAGGTGCTGAATAAAGCACACACATTGAGAAAACCTGAAAATAATTTAATTTCTTTTCCCTCTTATTTCCTGGTGGAGCATAGGCCCTCATCTAACTCACACCAAGCTATCCTTTTCTATGCTAAAAGAATTTTAACAAATATGTATCCTAGTAGGTGGCTATATTTCAGAGTAATGAATAGTATTTCATGTTTTACAGTTTGCCAGAGGTGGCGATTGCACTTTGAGTTTGTGACATCACTGACAGACATCCCGGGACCAGAGTCGGCACTCTCAGATACAGAAGAACGACTGTGGCAGGGTCCGTCAACATTAAATGTTGAGACTATGGTGTGGGATTTGAACATCAAAGTATTTCCTACTAACCCAATTCACGCATCAAGTGTAACACTCATGAAAACATCAGCGACCATACATTTGGGAGACTAATAATATTTTTACACATATAAGTAGAGAGAGAGAGAGAGAGAGAGAGATGAGAATTTGTCTTTTATTTAAGAGGTGCATTACCGTAGGAAATGTGGAGGGGAGGAGAGGCAGAGGGAGACTGAGATAGAAGATGCTGGACAGTTTGACATCATGGCATGGAGGGTCACCTGTGTCAGAGTTGATTGAAAGTACATGAGACAGAAGGTTGTGGATGGACATGACTACCAATGCCACAAGGCATGGGTTTTAAGAAGAAGAAGAAGAAGAGGTGCATTCTGTAAGTTGTTTTAGTTCAGCTGTACGTAAATTATGACTAGGAATCTCGGTACAAAAAAAATTTAATATTTTGAGCAGTCATTATCAGGGATTAAGATCCAGGTTCAGACCTCAGTATGGAAAACAAATTTGTTTTTCTATTGTTAAAACCAACAACAAAAAAACCACACACAAAAATCATGAAAAGTGTGTTTATCTAACATTTGTATATTTTGAGCAATCAGTAAACATGGTGAAGCATTAAATGGGATACATGTCCCAGTGCCTTAAATGTAAAAAAAACATGCATTGGGTGACTCATGTACTACCCTTTGACCTCTATCATTGAGGCTTACAGAAAATTTTGACTTCAGCATGGTTTCAAAAGCTGTTTACCTCAAACAACCCCCCTCCTCCTTTTTTTCCTGCCACCAAATGCTATTATTAGGTAATGTATTCATATTGTAACCTTGTAAATATTTGCACAGGTGCGAAAACAGCCATTAGCATTAATTGTATGTCTCGTAAACAGATGGCTATAGACGAGTCAGGGCAAAAAAATTAAAAACAGCATGATAAACAAATTTCTGTGTTTTGATTGGCACTCATGTAAAGAGGTAAAGATAGGACACAGCACACAGCATACACATTGATTTCCCTTTGTTGCTTTGACTGATAATAAATCAAAGTAACTCATGTTTTACTCTCGATGATTTTCTGCTCTCATCAAAGTCATGTTCTAGTCAGTCTGTACTTTAAACATGACTATCTTCTTCTTCACATCTTCTTTTTCTGTGTTTACCCTTAAAAAGACTTTTTTTTTTAGCTGTAGTTTACAGCAAGGCTGCAATAGCAGCACCTTTCTGCCAAACGTGTCTGATTTCAACAAACTGTTTTTTAGTTACCTTTTATGACATGCTTGTTAACTCTTTTAGTCACATAAGGTTTTTGTACAAAAATTATTATTTGTCCATTAAATATTGTCACAAAAACCTCAAACCACTTGCTGTGTTGCAGGAATTACAAATAAATAAAAGATACTAATGTGATTGCCAGTTTTATTCAGTATAAACTGACCAAAACTTAAATGTGAAAAGAGACTTCATGTGATGTTTGAGACTTTAGTCAGTAACGCACCATGCCTTGTTTGGGACTGAAAGAGTTCAGGAGCAGTGGGTGTACCCCTCTCCCCCACCCCTTTCCCCAAATTGTTCCCTAGAACCTACACTGGGAAAACATGAATATTAAATCGCAGTTGTCAGCAGTCATTGAAAGAATCTGCATATGTTGAATGCATTCTTTTTATCAACACTCTTTGTCGCATGCATGAACCTAATTTTTTTATTGTCATGAACAATGCCACTGCTAGTGATGGCTTGTGTGATATACCTATAAACCAAACTTGATGAGAAAAACCATAGCTGCTGGAATGTACGTCAAATTTAAAACAAATTTGACAGGACAGAGCAATTGCCTGTGAGCCCTTTGTGGCGTGTTAATGCCACAACATGACGATGATAATTTGCTTGTCTGTGTGCATCTTTCAGCTTCCTTGGAGAACCACTAAAGACATGGAATGAAAATTAAAGGCAATAACAAAAAATGCTTGAGAAAACTAATGAACATTAAATGGGAGGGATTCAAGAAAGATGAAGAAGTAAGAGATATGTTTGGAGAAGAAGAAGCAAACAGAGAATGACCAAACAGACACTGAAATAGAAAAAAAGGGTGTTCAAGAAAACCCAAAAGGGAACACTGTTGAGAGAAGCCAAAAGTTCTGTACAGAATGTCAAAAGGATTGTAGCAAACAGAGAATGACCAAACAGGCACTAAAATAGGAAATAAGAATGTTCAAGAGGTAGTGTAATTGAAAGTGAGGATGCCTCAGACAAATCCTAAACTGAATATTGATGAGAGTAGCTAAATCTTCTGGACTGGATGTCGGTCAGGATATCAGAAGTTTGTTTGAAGTTTGAACAACAGATCAACATCATGGTACAGGGGTAGTAACCCATAAATGCTCCGTTCTTCTTCTAACTCAAGTCTGAGTCCGATGAAGCTCAGCACAGTGCACAGGCTCTGTAGAACCGGCGAGGATCCAAAAATACTTTGGATAGATTTTTATCTCCAAATTTTGCCAAGGCAGCGCCGTTAGGCTCCTCTTTTCGATCTCCAACTGCCAAGGAATTATGTACATGCACAGCAATGCACACGGGCGTCTGATGTCACTACCCAGAGAACAGGGGGAAGTCCAAGCCCACGTGAAAAAATCCCAACTCTTACCAGGAGAACCCAGAACCTCTAGCACTCGAGGCGGACACCATTCCTTGAGACCACGCAGCCTCCAGGATAACAGAAGGAGTGGAGGAATGGTGGAATAGACTGTGAGCTCCGTATGATGTATAACCGACACAACAGAATGCTAATTATTATTGCATAAATTTTTTTTAAACAAAAAATAATTGTTTAAAATGTTGATGGGTTGTTTTAAATCTGAATATTGATCTGTCCAGTTTAAATGGACCTTATTTTAATCAGTCTGTTTTTAATGTCAAATAAATACATGCTTGCATTTGTATTTGTTTGTTGCAAATAATTCGGGGGGGGGGGGGGGATGAGGTAAACCTGTGCTTCTCTAACAAGCATATCTTAAGAGTTGACTAATTAGTGGTTTCCTTCAAAGTGGGAATGCATCTGCCTGAGAGGCAATGAACCAACAGTCTGCATACAAATAAGCCAGATTGGTAAAATGCAAAACTCAAGTTCTGGAAGAAGAGTGGAGTCTAGAGGGGGAGGAACAACCAGAACTTTCTGCTGAAGTTTACAGCAGGTGAACGCTGAGAAAAAGAAAGAAAGCTATAGTTACCTGGCTGGGAATCGAACCTGTCACCTCCAGGTGATGATGTCGTATCACTGCAGGAACAAATGTACTAAGATGCATAACCAGTTTGAGATAGGCACACTTGAAAAGGTGTCTTCATTGGCCACATATCTGTCCTACAGCTTGAGTCCACAACTAAAGAATACAGAGTTTGCCTCCAACCATTAATAACACAAAGGAAGCGGGGAGTTAGAGGTCCCAGCTTCGCAAACAGACAGGCGAAGTGCAGAAAGTGGGGTCGATATTAACATCTGACAAAATATGATAATTAACAATGGAGAAGAGTGGCTAACAATGAACACACATTAAACTGAGAGAAATTAGAACTAGTTAGGAGTTTCTCATATGTTCGACATACAGTAAAAAATGGTGGCAGAAGGGAAATAGAAGAGAAATGTGGCGCGATGATTTCTGTCACAGGCGTGAGGTAAAGTTAAGCCCAACGTTATGTGTATAAGGAGTCCTGCACTCTTCTGGTTTTATGGAACCTCACGCAAGACTCCTGCAGCACGTCCTCGTCGTGCGCCACGGATAATGTCTCCAATGAGCATTAACAGAGCTGTCAGGGGATCTCGGAGTTGGCGGCCCCTAGAGGTGTAGTGTCCTTGTGGCCCTCATCAGCCCGCCCCCAAACGCATGGGTGAAAAGCTTATCAAAACTCATTAGGAACATGAGTAAAGTGCTTGCCAAACGTACAACAAAAATGACAACCCTCGGTTAAAAGTGTGTGGGGTGAAGAGAACATTGCGTTGCTGAGACTCAACCCTTGACCTAGAGATTTACCCGCAGCACAGACGAGTAACATCTCTTGTTGGGTAGCGTCTCGCAGCTAATTCTACCCATGTACATCCTCTGTCAACCCTCAGTGTCGTGGCCACCGCGCTGAGGTGCACCATGACAGCAACCATCCATCGGCCGGTTAAGCCCAAATGTCTGACAAAAATGGATCCTACTGCACACGAGCAAGCTCAAAATTCGACCATCATAAATCGTATTGACTGGAAAAAGTCCAAATGTCCACATCCCGAGACCCCACTCGCTCGAGTGTTGGGACCAAACAGAGAAAGACATGCCTGACGCATGATTCTCTATTCTGTTGTGCTAACAGCACGCTACAGATGACAATCGTGCGACGAAAAAGATAGAAACCTATTCGTGTGGTCACAAAAGTCCAGAACCCATGGACTGCTCCCCGCTGATCTCCGGAGGGCGCAGCCCGTGTCGAGCGGGAAGCCTAATACGGTTGTGAGGTTAAGCAGTTATGTGCAGGACGTGACGATTCCTTGGGTAAGCCCAGAACCAGAGCGTTATGTGCCGGCTCTGCATTTATGGAAGCCTCCTTGGATGGCGAGGAATGCCGATGATCTGCCCCTGCCTTCCCTTGAGGGCCAACCGTTCCACACAGGGCTGTCCCAAATGGAGTACTTCGAGGGCAACACCTGTGGAGAAAGGGACAGAGAGGACACCACACAAATAAGGTCACATCTCGACCCACACAAAAAATGGCCACAGTCATCCTATAAATAGGCCTGACGTCTTCCCTCGAAGTCGGAGTACATCTGCCCGCGAGGCAGGGAACAGCAAAAGCCAGTAAAACGATTGTACACGCAAAACTCAGGTCCAGGTAAAAGCCAAAAGTCCAAGCGGACGATTAACCGGGACCTCCCGCCGGAATTCACAGCTGGTGAAAGAAGAAGAAGAAGAAGAAGAGAAATGACAAAACATGTTTTTATTAGCCTGTGAAAATTGTTGACATCTTGAGAAGTCAACTGCATATTAAAAGTGGCAATGGAATACTCAATCCTGCAGTATGTTGCAGAGACCTGGACACTTAACAAATTAGTAGAAAATCGGGTGCATTATT